TTTGTGCTTGCCGCAGATTGGTAGGTAAGCTGTTCCACATCACAGCACCATTATAGCTGAAACTGTTTTTTAGAAAATTGGTGCGGGGAGGAACGGTTAGTTTGCCGCCACAACTCCTAAGAGAATAGGCAGATATTGCACTCCGATCAGTAAACATTGATTCAGATAATCAGGGGCGAGACCATTAAGAGATTTATAGACCGTAGTGGCTGTTTTTAATTCTCGTTGGAGATTAAGTTTTTGCCAGCCTAGTCTAACAGAGAGATCATCCGCATTGGCATCATATGAAGAAGAGGTCAAAATACGCGCAACGGGATTCTGTAGTTTTTGCAGTTTAATGGAAAGAGATTTATTGCAATTCCCCCATACGTCACTACAGTAATCGAAATGAGGTTAAACTATGGCATCACAGATGCATAGGAGCGTTTCAAAAGGAACGAAAGATCTGCTTCTCTTCAAGATGCTAATGCAGGAGCCAATTTTTTTAGAAATATGTTCGATATCATGGTACGTTCCAAGTTAGGTTTTCATCTATATATACTCCAAAAGATTTCGTAAATTCTACTTGTTTTATAGAATTACCGTCAATAGCAAAAGAAGGGAGTCTATTAAAAGTATTTAACCTTTGCCTTGAACCAATCAACATAAACTCAGTCTTAAACTTATTAAGAGTGATTTTATTTGCCGATAACCATTCAGTAATTTTAGTTAGATCATCGTTCATATTTTCCTCGAGATAGGCAACATCGTTATTGGCAAAGGTCAAATGAGTATCACCCGCATATATTCTGGGGTGTGAGTTAACAAGACAGTTCAGTGGATCATTTATATAGAGTATAAAGAGGAGAAGTCCAAGTATTGTACCTTGAGGGATACCGCAAGTTAAAGGTTGACTATCCGAGACAGAGCCATTTACAGAGCATTTCCGCGTACGATTGTTCAAGTAAGATTTACACCAGTTAGCCGAGTTGCTTCCGACATCATAGGCTTTTAATTTAGATAGCAATATAGAGTGATCGACGATGTCAAAAGCTTTCTTCAGATAAAAAAAATCACTGCATTAACATAACCTTTATCGATATTAAAAGCCCAGTTATCTTTGGTTTCAAGTAAGGCGGTAACAGTGGAGTGAAGGGAACGAAATCCTGACTGATTACAGGAAATTAGGTTATTTTCAGTTCAATATTCGTAAAATTGATTGTATACGATTCTCTCAAAAACCTTAGCCACAACAGGAATTATAGAAATAGGGCGGTAATTATTTAACTCGGAATGTTCACCCTGTTTAAATAAAGGAATTACTTTTGTGGATTTCCACTCAGTAGGAAAAATGCCAGATATAATAGATCTATTGAAAATGGCACAAACAGAACTTGCGATCAGATCAGCATACTCTCGAAGAAGTCGTTCCGAAATTTTATCTAGTCCCGTCGCTTTAGATTTACAAAGTTTAGATAGTAAAGAAAAAAACTTTTGAACATTCAGTGGTTTTGAGTTCGAATCTATGGTCGGTCTCCTTAACATACTCCAGGTAAGACGGGGTGTCTCCATTCTGTTGGATAGCATTGATAAGTTTCAGTCCAATACTAGAAAAATGATCATTAAAAACAGACGAAAGTTCCAGCGGATCGCTAATGCTACTTTCTCGAAGTAAGTTCATTAACTATTCGCCGAGCCATACGGGAAATAACTGTACACATTTCATATTCCACTCCATGCATTTGTTGGCAACAATACAGTGTAGTTAAGATTGTTAGGAAAGCAAACAAACAAATGAATAGAAGACAGTGAAATGAGGGAAACTGTAAACTCTACCATATGATAGAAGAAACATCACAGAATACTTAAGAAGGGAAACTTGAATTGTGCTGGTCAATTTCTTCTTTTGCCCTTTATGTTTTTGATCAAATAAAATTTAATAAGTTGTAGGGTTTGCCTGCAATGTGTCAAATTACCAGTGTGGACTTGATTCTTCTCGTATATCAGCTTGTAAAAGATACTAAAAGTACACATCATCAAAAAAATCACACTTAATCCTTTACACCCTAACATCAGTATGCATATTCTCCACACTGTTCTCCATACATTTCCTGATGTGCTAACAAGGAGAATTTGTTTAACACTCAAGAGCTTTTTTAGTTGGTAATCATTTCCTTTAACATTTGATGTTTTCACATGTAACAGGATGACCAAGCTGAAGATAGCCTCAAAAAAAGGAGTGAACTCCACTGTAACAATTAGGTGACTAATTTGGAAACTTGAGCACTTGGTAAATACACCTTGGCTTGGAATTCTGACGTTTGCAGTTTGCTGGGGTGCCCAGTGCCCACGCAGGAACTTTCCACATGACCTGTTCAGTCATATGCGATGAGATAACTTTAGAAAAATGTAATTGTGTTGGTAGAACTATTGTAAGTATAGTACCACCTACTGACAAAAATTAATAATTTCCTGTAAGCATGAAGGTTTGGGAGAAGTTATGGTGGTAATTGACCCTTTCTTTGCCAGGATGCATAGGGTCTAATGATTGTGATGTACATCTTTCAGCTTTCAAACTTTCAACTTTGTATAAATTATAACTGTTTGCCATATCTATTTCTCTGTACCTTAAGCCCTCAAAGTTGAAGCAGGTGAGTCAATAACCTGACTTTCTTTGTTTGGAGTTATGTGATTATATAATTTTGTTGTGTAAGTTACCACGTTGTAACATGTAATAGTTTTATTAAAATTGCATTAAATCTCTCTCAAGCTTTCATTGATGCATGGTGTTTATTATCAATGCTTATAAGAGAGTTGTGCAGACCATATCTTACTTTTTAGCCTCCTCTGGATATATATTCAAATAACATAGTCACTATCAGTCTCGCTCACTCTCACTTTCCACTGCGCTTGTGGAAAGAAGATAACCTCAGTATTTCTTTAATTGAAGAAAGGAAAGCATTCCCTCTTACCACAGATAGTTCTTTTGTGCTGACCTTTTGGGTTTATAGAATGATCAAAAATGAAATAATGATATTCTTTTCAGAAATCTTTGTAGATAATCGGCCATAAAATTATGACGTTCTTTCTCGACAGAAAGCAGAATGAATTGTAAAGCGAAATCAGAGTAGACCTTAAATCAGTTAGGACTAAAGGTTTTTTGATAGTTTCTGTCTCTGTGTAAAGCTGAATGCCAACTATTTGATAGCTGCAACGGTTTCTAATTATTTTGTTAGTTGATTATGTCTTATCTCGAGAGAACCGCAATCTAAGTGACTCAAGACTAGCAGCGTAAATCTCGGAAGTTAAGTGACACCCCTATCAAAGTGCAAGGGAAGAGGATAGAGACCCTTTTTTTGCGAGGGAATATCAATTGTTTACTGCTGAACACAGCTGTTAAGGTATGATTTAACCGACAGAAAGAACACTTATGATACTCCTACAAACCCAACTACCTTATCAAACAAAGTGTAATATTCTTACCAAGGAGCGACTCCTAAAAGCAGTACAGTAATTATCCTCAGTAAACGTAACTTATCCTACTACAGACTATAACTTAGCTCACCAATGACACAATCTTTGCATCAGGGTTGGACTCGTGATGTCGTTTAGAATGGCGGATTCGGAAAAAAGTAATCTATTATATCCTCTTAAAGAAATTTACTCATTTTTCCTTTCAACCACCATTTCTGCTCTTCTAGGAACCTTAAATCTTAAAATGTAGTTTCTTTTAGTCCTACCAGACCATGTATTTCACAAAGTTCGACATTTGCAGAAATGTTAGGATAAAGCTCATTTCCTACTCAGTAAAAACCTTCAAAAAAATCATATATAAAAATTTCGGTTAATTCATCGTGCAAAGCTACGACCAACCCCCCACCCCCCCTCCATTTCACCCCCTCTCCTCTGTATGCTGAAGCATCATTTTGCCCCCAGAAACAAAATAACGTCAGGGAATATTTCCAAACAGACGCAAAACTCTCTCTCCTTCATTTACATGTTAAGATTATTCCTCAGGTATCCTCTACTCCAGACTGAAAGAGCGTTGTTTTTATACTAGGTACTGTTTCGAGTGCAATTATTTATATCAACTGAGGAAAGAAGGCTTTTGACCAAAAGGTAACCTAGTTTATAATTATGTAAGATTGATGGACTCTTAACCTCTACTGACAGAGACAGGAGAACATGGTCTCTTGGATGTAAGTCTCCTGAAACACGTACAAGCGATTTTTTGCACTTCAGGAAGCTCTTTTAATTTGGTTTGGTTTTGTCCTTCCTTCAAAGGAGAGATCTACAGAGATGGGTCAAGATATAATAGATTAATGTCGTGAAGAGAAAGATGTGAACTCGTGTACGGCATCATTATGCAGACAGAGTCAACTCAGAACTTCAACCCTAAGCAAAAAAAATTTAAAGTTATTACATTAGCAACGTATCCAAGAAAAAAAGACTCGTACACGTACCTACGACCAGTTTCGTTGAGTAATAGTATCTAGTACGCGAAAACTATCGGGCCAAACAACAAACTTTCTTGTACAAATAATGTGCCAAGTATAATTTTGATTAGAATACCGAATAAAAGTATTTCGAGTTGGTATCGCGGGTAAAGGCGGTCTTGGGGAAAGCAATTTATGCGCACGATTTGCTTTCCTGCAAGCGGCAAAATTTTTTCAGCAATTTATTAAAATTGTACACAACTATGGCTTTCAGAGCGAGATCTCATCACCACCTCAGAATTGAGCCAGAAAATAAACTGAACTCGATCGCTTGTGTCGAGGCATACATGTAAGTACTTAATATGTTAAAGAGAAAATAAGAGTAACTTTATCAGTAAACCTATAAAAGTTTAGCGTTTAAGAACATAAAGTCAATTGAATTACAACGTTCCAGCCTAACTGCTAAACGCAACATGGCTATTTCTACCAAGTAAGCGTGTAAGGAAACGGTGATTAATCCCTGAGACTTGTGTGGGCGGAGTGTTCAAAATGTTAGCCAGTCATACACTGTGGACGCGTATCTAACTACACTGTTAAATCCTCGACGTTTGCATACAACTGATTGTCGTACATTGTCATGTTGATCAGCTTCTGCAGAGAAAAATAATATAATAATCAGCATCATCAAAAAAGTTTTAAGTGGTTATCTTCACAAGTGGTCAGGTTTTCACACCATAACAAATTCAAGAACGAAGTATTCATGGCGTCGTTGTCTGCTACCCTTTGTGCGTCTCAATGTAGTTTTGCAATCATCCTATGATCTTTTAAATAACCATAACGTGTTAATTGTCATTGAGACATTCTACTTCGCTTCTTTGCTGTTTTTCGTGGAGTGCTAGCTTCAGTCACATAACAAAAAGATGCAATCCAAACTTCGTAAAAATTACTGAGATGAGTACATATAACTACGCTATTTAGCCTTTTAAGTTTAACCCTAATTAGCTTAGCCTGAGCCAATCGGTCCTACGTAAAAAGAAACTTTCATATTGATAAAAATTCTGACCTTGTGTAGGGTTTCCATGTCCTTAAGCTGATTTTTCAATTCAGTAAAAGTTGGTCTTGCGTCTGGGTCGTTCTTCCAGCATTTCATCATGATTTGATACCTGGCATTGTTCAAGTGATCTTTTTGAGATTTGAAGAGCATTTCCTTGTACAACGAGAGAGAACGAGGTAACAAAGAAAACTTACAATTTTTCATCGACGTGTTGTGGTTTAGGCATCCTGTATCCATCCTGCAGTAAGTTTGCAATTTTTCTTCCATCCATTCGTGGGTAAGGTGAACCGCCTGGAAGAACCACAAGACCATCGAAATATAAACGTGACGAAAAAAAGACCTTCACTAAAACATACCTGTGTCAGTTGATGGAGTTTGAGGTTGCATGGGGAAGCTTATTACGTTTGTCTAACTGAACACGATACATTGTTTAATTAAGAGCCTCATAAACTTCCTTTCGATGTTACCTATGGTGAAAATCTCGTACAACAAAACTCCATAACTCCATCTGCAGAAAGACAAATCAAACGAACATATATTAAGTGACTATTGACATAAACAGTATATACGACAAATAAAATAAATGTATTCTTTGACAAAGCATAGAATTCAAGTCCTGACTAAAACTGATAAAACTTGTTGATAAATTGCTACGGTTGATAATCAGGTATACGTACACGTCACTTTTGGTGGTATATTTACCATACAATAAGGCCTCATAAGCTGTCCACTTCACGGGAAGACGGCCCTAAAGATTTTAAATACCACTTTGTGAAACAGCTCGAGAATTATAGGTAGCGACAAGTCAAAAACAGTGATATTTAAAGTTGTACTCGTATACGCATGGATAATATTTTCATTAGGGTCCCAAGGAATTCATGATCGAAATCAGGAATATATCAGCATTAAAACAACAATAATTGTGAAAGATCACTAAACTGAACGAAATGTGATACCGCCCTCACCTTCCCTCTTTCTTGATTACCTTAGTCTTTCGTTCATAAATATTTTCCTGCTGCACATCTCTGGCCATTCCGAAGTCTGTCACTTTACAAGTTTCCTTTTGTCCAACCAACACATTACGGGCCGCAAGGTCTCGGTGAATGATCTTGGAAAGAATTGATGCAACAGCAAAAATTAGCGATTGCAGAAGAAAAAGAACTGAAATGAAGTGGTTCGGATAGGAAAATAGAAATATCTACAACATAATATGGTGTGCGTATTTATTTCTTCTTCCAGATGGCAGAAAATTAAAACTACTACAATAACTCCTCCATATTCCAAAGAGAAGCAAACTACTTTATGTCTGCAATACGTAGTTATTTCAAAGAACGCTTATCTTAAGATTTTAATCGAAATAGGATTCTTCAATGAAGCAGTTTAGCGACAAAAGATGAATTTTTTAATTTGAAGTTTTAATTCCTTTTCTTCCTTGTCACTAAAATGGATATTTGTTGTACACTCAGTTTAAGCTGAATATCTTAAAAGATCCTATGCATTCACGTCTCTGCCTTTGCCTGCACAAGAAAAATCCAGATATTTTATTTCGATGGGGTGCACTTGCAAAGATGCACAAATATCGCCATTCTCACATTGAAATAAAACTTATATGATGACGTCAAATTTGGGAGGGTTCCTGGCCCTAAAGAAATAGACTCATCAAGACGGTTGGAATACATTTGTAACTCCCACGCATGATCTTGTGAAGACATAATATTCTATGCAAGACAGTGCTTAACATGACGATAGATCTTACAAGGTTTTAGAATTGTTTGTATTTTGTGTTTTTAATTAACTTACAGATTTTGCGGACAAGTAACTCATTCCATCAGCAATTTGCCAAGAAAACCTCATCAGCTGCTGCGACGTCAGATTTGTTTGTGGTTTGATATCCGGGTCTTTGTAGTAAGTGTCTTTTAATCCACGGCTCTTTCTCAGGTAACCCAGCAGATCCCCAAAAGGCACATATTCAATCAAAACCAACAGCTGTTCTGAAGAAATTAAACAATTTAGTTGATATATTACTCTCCCTTAAAAAAAAAATTAGCAATAATTAAAATAAAAAAAACAAATACCCCAGTTATGGTCAACACTTGAAGAAATCGCACGAAAACAAGAAAACCTATGTAACGATCTCATAAGAAGGTACAGACCAATTATTCCCTCACAAAAAGCGTTCCTGCATAACAGAATGATCTGCCCAGTGGCAAATATTCGGTCTTAGTCTGTCACTAAATCCAGGAACGTCTATATTGGCTAAAACAAGATAAAATTACCTTATGCGATGGTTGTTTGTTGTGCTCAATTGTGAAGCAGTGACTCTTCCATTGAAGCAAATTATCGACGAAAGAAAGCGTTACAGAGTAAATCAGATGCAAAATGTGTACAAGAAAATGAGACCCGCATAACCAAAACATACCAGATTTTGTAACACATCCCAGAAGTTTAATGACGTAAGGATGTGGTTTCAGCTGTTTCATTGTGTCAAGTTCTTTCATCAAATCTCTCCTGTCCGATTCAACAGCGTTTGCTGGAGCGTTAAAAACAAGGAGTAAAATTTGGTTAACGGGAATGATGTCGAAATACCAACATAAGTTATGAAAAAGCAAATAGCTAAAAAATTACATTAACCCAGTAACAATTCTTGAATGTCTGTAGGCCAAGACTGTCATTCAATTTACAGTACAAAAGCTCACTTTTAAGCATCTTAATAGCCACTGTGGTCGTCTCAGGACTCCCTGGAAGTCCTACTGCTGTTCCCTTGGCAACCTGACCAAAAGCGCCTTTACCAATTATTTTTTCTATGGTCACGTGATGTCTTGGAACTTCCCAGCAGCGTGTTAACGGATGAAGAGGCGCGTAATCAGCACCTGGAGCTGTTCTTTGTGCTTTTCTATTATCTTTGTTGACTTCTATGAGATCCATGTATTCCGAAGGAGGCTGAGTGAGTTTTCTTGAATCGGGCTGACTTGGTTCGATATCTTCTAATCCTGTTCCATTCTATTAAACCAACACATCGTTGGTTATAAAAATCAGTTCACCCATTTTTCTCAGACAAGCGTTTATATTCTTCCATGACAAGAGATGAAAAATAGTTTATAATCTCTTGTTCTTATTATTACTAACATTATTTATTACTAACACTTTGTTATCACTAACATTTTGTTCTCTGCTTTTGAAACTATCATGTTCAGTGGAGTGATCGAGGCTCATAACATATTCGCCGAAGCCACAAACTGCAACATGAAGATTGTCGATTGGTAGTGCAATTTTTGACAAATAAACGCAGGAACAAAATCCTGCTGTACTCAGCTCCTAAACCCACCTTTAGAAAATAAAGCATCAAGAAAATAAGACGGCCAAAAATGCGCGAAATCAATTGTTTAGAAAGCAAATATCAACCGGGTGCAGAACAGTTCGCGATCATTGAAGTGAAGCCAGGCAGTTGAACCAGGGACAACCGAAAGAAAATCCATGGAGCAGCTTAGGACATGATCACAGGACAAAGACCTTATCGAGCCTAACTTCCTCCTCTATTTCATTGTATCTGCCACTGATGCAATATGCTTTTTTTATGTAGAACTACATATTTTTTCCTTTTTATTTGCTGCAAGCGTTTATTTTCTTATAGAAAGTAGAGGTAAAGTGAGATTACATAATATCTGGGCACACAAACATGACCTCAATGTCTTAGCTTTAACTTACGTAGCAAACACCTCTTTCATCTTCATAAGTCCTACAATTGAGAAAGCATAGAAATAATTATAAAACGCTTAGAATTTCATCAGTTTTGATTGGAATTTTTTGTTAAGATGAAACCATATCTGGTACATTTCGTCGACACAATCCTACTGGCAGTAAATTCTTACCTCTGTTTCCTTACAGCGCCTGAAAAAGAACGAAAGGAAAAAAAAGACCAGTGATGTGGATGTGGGTAAAAATTCGCTTTTGCTTAATAATGAATCTTACAGCCAAACCCTCTAACACAGATTATGATTCTTTTACCTACCTTTCTTATGTAGCCAGATTATGTAAATGATTAGAAGAAGGATTGTGAAGGCAAGAACCCCAATTATGGCTAACAAGACGTTGTTAGATGGGCAGTTGCATTCTTCAGGACCTTAAATAAAACAACAACATCGAAAAAAAAAAAAAACCTGGAAATTTATCAGTCACAGATGAAGTTGTTTAATTAAACAGATACGGAATACAATTATAAACAGTCCATCTTCGGAAGAATACGTGTAACCATTTAACGATTTCTTTGTAAAATTTACCTTTTGTTGTGCTTTCCGAGCCATCCGTGGGTATTAAAACTTGTTTAATTGAGTCTGGATTGACTTTAAAACCTCCGAATTTGTCTTGCCTTGAAGCGTCCGACAGGAGAATCAAAACATTGCTGACGACTACACTTTGATTGAACCTCATCATGAAGTAAAGAACAACACTGCCACACCTAGATAAGGGGGGGCGGGGGCGGAAAAGAGCAAAGAGTATTATCACACATATTTGTACTTTGGTGACTTTTAAGAGTTAAAACATATTGAGATTTAACCAATGTAATAAATTAAGGTAAATAAAATTAATTTATATCATTCTGTGCCAATATATTACTGTACATTAAATGTAAATTATCTTGTATTAAATAAGATGTGCTCGAGAAGAAAAATCAGTTTTACCGCTAAAATACAACACACTGAGAAAAAGCTCCTCTCCCCTACTAGAAGGCAAATTTGAGTTTGCATTTGTAGTTTCAGTGTAGAACAACAAACTGTACTTTACCTGGTGTTCACAGTGTTGGCGGATGAGCAGCCAAACCTGAAGGCAATTTGACAAGCCTAAAAGGACATATCAAGAAAAAACGTCAAATGCTTGTCACATATTGAAGATCGCTCAAAATATCTTTTTTAACAGAAATATTACGATTTCATTCAAGAACAGATTGATTAAGATTCACTTTTCATGATAAATCTCATGGCAGTATTCCATAAACTCCAGTATATGGATCAAGTAGATTATCTAACCATTTCTGGAAATTTCGCAGCAACTTCTGAACGTCTGCTACAGTCCTCCTGTATTGTCGCTGTCAGGTAAACTTCTGAGCTTACTGTTTGAATTGAGGAAAAACAAAATACGACTGAAAATGAACGTTTGTTTGTTTGCACAAGAATTATCATTTGAACTCCTGTGTAAAAAACAGCCTTTACTTACAAAGAACACTGGCCTAAAATGTACGAATGTGAGGCCAATTTGAGAGATATTTTTTTTCTTGTATTTTGCGTCACGATGGTGTTCTCAGAATCGCTCCCCAAGTCGTCTTCCTTTTTCGCCGAAGTATAACTTTTTTAAATAACCGCAAGTTATGACAGATGACATTGGTGGAGGCAGTCTCAACATTATTTATGAAAGGAAAAGTTTTGTGTCATGCACGCAAGGTGAAAGCCTCGGGTTGATCATTTATTTAGAAAGTATTTCTGACCAAACAGTTGTCTATGTTTTATGCGAAAATAATATACCAGTTTTTGGATTATTTTGAAGTAATTTAAATTTGTTAGAAGGACAGGTCTTGCCGGTAAAATGGAATACGATCATTTTTTTCCTTCTGTGACGTTTGTAGAATGCCGACTTTCGATCAGTTGTTTAAGACTCCCTTGAATGACAAAGGTAGGAGATGAACTGGCGTATTACCTCTGACATCTTGGAAAATCAGAACTGTCAATATATAGGCGATGAAGCCTGAGACACTGAGAACAAGGAATGGTATTCTTGACATGTGATAGATTTGAAGATGACAAAACTATGAGACATCGTGGGTCTGTAGCACACCCACTGATGCATAGACTGTTATCTGTTAACTTTGACTTCTAGAGAAGCCAAAGAGGTGTCAGAAATTTCCTAGATCTATTTTAGAGCTCAATGAAAGTAACTGACCGCAATTAAAAAATGACTGAGTTCCTCTCTGGTGGAAAAAGTAGCACCGATACAGTGATCAACGTAGCGACCTCAAATTCCAGCCCCCTATTTACGCCTGGTGGATGACTCTATCACTTTGTAATACATTTGCATGTCAAGGGTCGATTCCCTGTCATTTTAAATAAGTCCCGTCTAGGAATGCAATTTCTGAATTCAATATCTTTCACACAGCCATCAGCTGGGAGTGTAATCGCTGCCGTTCGTGAAGATTCTTAAGCAAGACTGCTGTTTCGATTCTTTCTGAATCTCTTTAGTTGCCTCCTAAGAACGAATTTGGTCGCGGAAGAATTACGAGAGCCCACAGGCCCTTCAACTCTTTTTAATTTTCCTTTTTAACGAAGGAGCGGCAACAGACAGTGAATTCCCATGTCATACATTTCTCGCTATTCTCTCTTCCATCAAAGATGTTCACTCGACTGCGACAAGATGCAAATGACTTAAGCCCCGTTCAAACGATCATGAACGTTAATGATAGACAACTAAATGACAGTTTCAACTTTCATTCACATCATTGACTATCGAGTTTGTGTTCAAATGGTTCGTGACAGTCAATGATAGTTGACAAAATATCACGCAATGTGATCGCGTAATTGTACACAAATACGGTGCGCGCTGAGGTCAGCAATTTCAGTGGCACTTGAAATTTTAGTCATGAAGTTACAAGTTAAAGATACTGAAGCCTACCAGGAAATGATGGGAATTAACTACGAGACATTCTGGGAAATTTCGACGGCTATTTTAGTCATTTTACCATTGCCATTTCGGTTTGAGCCCGTTGTTGGGCAAAACTGCTGACCTAACAACTATCATTCACCATCTTCCTCTGGTTCAAACAGCAAAAACTATCATTAACTATCATGTCGAATTTAGACATGTCCAAACTACATGATTTTTGATGAAATGCGATGATAGAACATGACAGTTCGTGTTCAAACGCGCTTGATAGTTGACACTATCGTCAACTATCATGACCGTTTAAACGGGGCTTCAGTTTTACTTTTGCGACCATGATGCAAGGCAATCAGAGTGCGCACAGGTTCAGAATAAATAATGTTTTCTTCTTCAGATGTCGTGTATGATGTCAGCGTCGGATGAAATGATATTTCATTGAGCATTATTGTGAACTTTGGTATGGGAAAATGAGTCAGAGTTGAAAGAAACGACCATAAGCAACTTCCAGTTAAGAGATTACCTGTCGACTAATAGATGGTTATAAATGAGAAGAGTGAGTCAGTGAAACAATACGCCAGAAACGTACGGGCTTCTCTTATATCTTCTCTTTATGTCGCCAGTTATGATTGTTCACTCCACAGTTTTCTCTATCGTGTCAAATTCCTCCGATAGTTGTACTAAATTAAAAAGAATAGTCACTTTCAACCTGTTTTCAGTTCTTCTCTTCAGATTATTTGTGTTTCACGATTGTCCTCTTTAAACCAAATTTCAATGATCATGGCAACTCTAGCCACTGAAATATGGAATTTGTCTTGTTTCTGTTTCTTGAGCTGCTAAAGATTGATTTAAACGAAGACAGGCTAGAACTACAATATCTCATCTCAAACTTGATAACGAAAAGAGACTTAAGATTCGACTTCAAAGATGTTTGTAGAAACCTAGAAAGGTTTCATGTTGTTTAGAGGATGTGAAGTAGCGCAAGGAAAGAATTTGGAACCCGTGTTTTGAGCGGCAAATCATAATGGTGAGGTTGTTGAAAAGTGATTCTTGGTATTTTGCAATTTCTAATAAACTTGCAAAGCAACGATACTCAGAGCTAAAGCTTTTCTCTTTTCCAAACGGAAGAAATAGAGGGAGAGAGAGAGAGAGAGAGAGAGAGAGAGAGAGAGAGAGAGAGAGAGAGAGAGAGAGAGAGAGAGAGAGACCAAAGAGAGAGAGAGAGAGAGAGAGAGAGAGAGAGAGAGAGAGAGAGAGAGAGAGACCAAAGAGAGAGAGAGAGAGAGAGACCAAAGAGAGAGAGAGAGAGACCAGAGAGAGAGAGACCAGAGAGAGAGACCAGAGAGAGAGACCAGAGAGAGAGACCAGAGAGAGAGACCAGAGAGAGAGACCAGAGAGAGAGACCAGAGAGAGAGACCAGAGAGGGAGACCAGAGAGAGAGACCAGAGAGAGAGACCAGAGAGAGAGACCAGAGAGAGAGACCAGAGAGAGAGACCAGAGAGAGACCCGAGAGAGACCCAAGAGAGAGGCCAGAGAGAGACCAGAGAAGGGAATACAAAGAGCTCCAGAAAAGATACTGAAAAGAGATCATCAACAAAGAGAAAGCGAACTACGTTTGTAGCGAAAACGAAGATCCCCGAAAACTAAGACCTAACACCTTAGAAAATGAATACCCCTTCATGACCTTGAGACAGGAAGTTTGCGTCACGCTCTATAGCCTCACCGAAGAAAACCTGTGAAAAGATAGACAACCTCTCTGTTCGCAGCGTGAGGCAGCGTGATCATACATTCTTAATTAAGCTAAAGCGAAATCGCCGAAAATTCTGAGTTCTCGCAGTTCAGTAATCTGGTGTCGAAATTACGGCGCGCAGAGGAGGCTCAGTTCTAAGTCGCTTTCATCGGTATGAAGAATAAAGCGCCGTGGTGGTGAAAATGACAGAAGAGTTCTCGGAATTCAGTGTGGGAGAGTGAAATTTTTTGATGTTGGAGAGATGCATCAATTAAGTGATGGCAGCAAAGGAAAGAAAAAAGCAGTTGATTTAAATATAAGAAGATTAAACGAAAGTGTTGCACGCTTCTCTTACCAGATTCAGATCAGCATGTGTCAGACTTATTTGTGTGTGCCAGCCAATGATTAAAATCTCAGTTAATAGATATGCCATATATTTGCAGTTGGCATATAAATATCAACTGCGACGTAAGTAAAAATTTTCTCGTTGATTCAGGTTCTTGCAAGCGAAGAATTCACCCGTAAAAGCCTCGATGTTGATGACACGGACCCGTAAAAGCCTCGATGTTGATGACACGGAGAGTGCTTGAAAACTAAGTAAAGAAAAGGATAAACCGTTGAAAGGAGAAAATAAGATTCATTTGAACATACTTCCTTCTGTCTTGACTAGCTGGATATTTGCTCCCTCTTGTTTCAGGCTTTCACCAAGCTCATTAGTTGCAGTAATAGCAAACTGATACACCTTTCCTCTCTCCAACGCTATTTTCAATTCTCTCACAGAAACATCTCTGGTTTTCTTTATTTCTCTCCACTGTCCCACTTTCCCATCAGTCACTACTCTTTGGTACACTGTATACATGATAATAACTTTTCCATTACTTTCTGGCTCCTTCCACTTTAGGGTAATTGTATCGTCTGTTGTTTCACTTGGCAGTTCGTCTATTTCGACCACATCTGGGGCTCCTAGATTGATGTCAACGACACGAACAGCGTGAAATTTCTAATAATTATATAACTTCTTGTTACAAACCTGGTCAGAACCATTATCAGTGATTAAATAATCTGTAAACTGGTCGAGGATTTGTTTGGGATATTTCTGAGACGAAAGTGTATGGCAACCAAATTAAGTTAAGTATTGAGATGAATTCAAAATAATTTGAAAGGACAAAAAAATGATAATGAGAAGCCTAAAATGATGGTCGGTTATTACCTAAAACAAAACTGCATTTATAAGGTGAATTTGAACGATACACTGACTTCTACTGGCATTGTAATTGCTATTTACACGTGATCAAATGAAGGACCGATGCATAGATGACGTTACAATTCACCGTTCGTTTGTGTCACGTAGTTACAGAAAGGATCTCAGTTCGTGTGCAACTACTTTCCGCTTTTGAAAAGTCTGACATCACGCATGATTAACTACAGGCCTACAATTCTTCTTCTGCAAATATAAGCTGGCGCGGGTTTTCCCGCCTTCTTCAGGCGGTTTGCCAACCGAGGAGGCAATGACAAGAAGCGCTTAAGCGATAACAGGTGCGACGAACTTCATTGCCATATTACGGCTGCTCAGCTTCAGTTACTAAGTACACACCTGTTACCACAATAGTTTTTTTGTTGAGTGAGATATGTGCCCGATGAGATTCGAAAGAAACTTTCTTGAAAACGACAACCTTAATTGTTTTGGTTTGGGCTTATCCCTGCAAAATGAAAATAAGTTATTTCTCAACTTAAAGAAAATATACGAAGGATTCTTCGAGGCCGTCCACACACTGTTTGACGAGATTTCCCCATAATATTTGTATATTAGAAGCGACATTCATGAAAGGCCCATTTCTTCAAACTTCAATTCTTTGGTCAAACGATGTGTGGAAATTGTCTCACTGCCTAAAGGGATAGTTGGTTATTAGGCGTTCTGAATATGGCCGGTAAGAGTTAGGGGAAAATGTATCCAACTAACCTAAAGGTCACTATGTAGCGGCTGTTGTTGTTGCTGATTCATATAGCAGATTTTGAAACGTGAACATCAGAAAATAAAAAAAAACGACAAGGCAAACAATACTTGATAAATCAGGTAACATTTACGGAACGTAACCGCGTAGGTTGTCTATTGTTCTCACTTACGATCATTGTTTTTTCATTGTTTATTATTGTGCTTCTTCAAACGTAGGTACCTCGAAAACAATTATCACAAAGGGAAAGGAAACTGGCCACTAAGGAGGGGACAAACGCTGAAAATCAAAAATCTTATAATGCAGCAAGCAGATAACGTTGTTAAAACTGGGTTACTCACAACATATCTAAGTTGGCGAAAAAATGATTGGTGTAAAGTGTTCTGTCACGATATCACTTTTGATTCCTCACCTTCAAACTTGGTCTTAATGTTCCATACAGTAGGATCTCCCTCGAATACAACATTTCTGGAAAACAGTTTCACTGTGTAGTTGGTATCTTTCTCCAAACCATGAAACGAATAACTTGTCGTCCCAGGATCGGTTATATTAACCTTTTTTATCTCAGTTCCATCCTTTTGTAAGATCATTTGAAATCCTGTAATCGGACTTCCTCCATCAGCTGGTGCAGTCCATTGTATTGTTATAGAAGTTGCTTGAATGACTGATTCTGATTTGATGGATGCTTTCCCTGGTTTCTCTACATAGTGTCATAAGAAAAGAGATTATTTTGAGTTTTGTCACAACACTAAGGATGAATGCAAGTCCACGTCTCTCACAGTTTATTATTTAACTTTCATACACTGTTCGAATTCCGATTTTCTGATTAGATGATTTTACCACGTGATACTGGGTTGTGACGAAACAACCTCCTTGACGTCATTATCGTGGTGTAATAGTCCGTAAACTCGTGCAGGTAAATCCCCATAGTTCATTCGTTGAGTGCGTTAACATGTAATTAATGAATATAAATGTAGCTACCGGATACATTCAGCCAAGAGACTCATAAAAAGTTAAAAAATTTATAGTCCATGGTTGAGCAAGTTTCCTATAGATACCCGCATGGGAAGATGTCATCAATCTGCCTGAAGTTCAACGCTCTTTGTGACGTGTTTAATGCTACCAAAGGGCAAGGTGTCGACAGTTTACTTTCAACCTTTTTTTTTTATAAATTTGGGTGTATTTCCCACTAAAAAGATCAGGCTAACTATATCTGGCATAATTCCACTATTACGCCGTTATACCTCATTGGGTAACGAACGCGAAAAAAATGTGTTGGTCAAACGCAGCTAAAGAGGAGAAAAATGCGAACCGAGCGCCCAGATAAGGCCGCAAGATGTATGTCGAAATCTAGGCGGCCAAATTGTTAGTAAATGAAAGAATAGTAGAATGATAAATCCCTTACTCGATGGTTTAACATAAGCTTATTTTTTTTCCACACGCCTCTGGGCCTTGCAAAATATCCGCACGTATTAAATGTTAAATCATCGAATGAGATGTACATAGTGAATGAGTCACTCTGTCCAATACTTTATAAGAAAATGTGGTTTTTTTACTTCTACTGCAACTGAAACAGTGATAACGAGCAATGGCAAAAGAAAATGCTGACCTTATATATAGTTTTCTACTTATTACAATACACTGATTTTTTTACTTACTTATCTGATTTATCTTTATTAATTTCTTATCAGATGGAACAAGTCCATTGGCAGCAGTGCACTTGTAATGACCAAAATCTTGATCACCCTTGAGTGGCACTTGTACTTCGTTTTCTCTGGCTGTGACATTGTTTATTCCACTTCCTTGAGGTTTGTACCAAGAGAGTGTTGGTGTAGGAACACCATCAGAAAGACACTTCAAAGTCACTGTCTGGCCAATCCAAGACTTCTTAGATGACGTGGTGACATTTTGAATTGTGGGCGGGTCTAAGAGTGAATACAAATGCAATTAGCAATTGAATAACTAATTGGTGATACTTCATATGAATCAGAACATTAATGAGCTTTATCACTCCACTACTGTGTCATTTTACCAAATAAAGTAATGAGGAAGGCAAAATATGCCACAGTATTACATTTCAGAACAAGGCAAAAATACGTCGCAACATATTGGCAGCACTGAACGATCCAAACATTGTTTTTTTTCGTTTTTTACATTTGACTTTTAAAGAAGCGAACTTTTAAGCACAAAAGAACACAAAGGACATTTGAACGCTTTAGTTCTGGTTGTTTCCATCTTTCGCGCATATCTTATGCAATGGATATGATGCACAGATAAAGCCGTACGATGTAATTCGCACACTAAAAGTTAAAATACTAAAAACTGAAAATAATAGTGGAATAATATATCTCTTATTCGAAGGTTTAACACATAACACAAGCGGAAATCTTGCTTGTTACTTGTATTTTTTCCTCGTCTATTCAGGGCTTGGAAAAATTATTTCGCTCCTAGAATAAGATGTATTCAGAGGGCACGGTGACGAATCCTGCAATCTGATGGGTTCTTAGCGCGGTCCGTATTTTCCTATCTCTACCCACGGGCACGGTAACGCCCACGTGAATCGCAGAGTCATCGGCACCTTCGTTGCCATTTTTGCTCTGACGAAGGGCTAACGTTCGAAACGTCAGCTTTTTAACTCTTTACGGTGGCCGATTTACATTATCACCTCCGTCGATAATACAAAATTACCCTGTTATACTCTCCCACCGAAGCAACACCAGTTTCATTAGAAACTTACCCCCTTTATTCAAGTAAAAAGTGATGAAGTGAGCATAATCGTATGCCGATCTTCGGTGCACCACACGAGGAATTACACGAGGACTTCATGTGGGCTAGTAGACATCACGCCGCGCAAGCAAAGACTTTGCAACCCGCGTTTTGAGCGGAAAATCATACTGATCAAGTTGTAGTTACAGACACCACTAATTATCGGTATTTTGCAATTCTAATCAATGTACTTACAAGTAACAACACTAAGCTATGTCTACCAGAAGAAATCATTTAGTTTAATTGTTAATGCTTTCGAGTGAAGGTTGACACATAGGAGAAAAATTGGCAGAGCGAACAGTCATACCAAGCGACACCAAGAGAAGATATAAGAGAAGCCCATACACTTCCGGAGTACTGTTTCCCCGACTCACTGTTCTCAGGTGAATACCCTACCATTAAACGCTGATATCTTAACTCGAAGTCGTTTATGGTCGTTTCTTTAATTTTGGCTCGTTTTCGCAAACCAATATTTTAATTCATTCCAATAGAATATCATTTCAACTGATACTAACATCATACACTACATCTGAAGAAGAAAAGTTTCCCTATCCTCGAAAATTTGTTCAAAATATCAGGAATATCAACAGAGGTCTTCATCTGCCTGAAAATACCGCTGACTAGCACATATGCTGGTCACTTTGTTAAGTTGTGAAAACATTATCCCTCAATTCAGACCCCAATTTTCCCCCATACCCCACCCCAGCTGGTCCCCTTCAATAACCTCTTTGACAACGACTGCAGAGGACTTTTTGTAAAGTGAAGGGCCAGAAAATAAACTTACTGACGCTCTGCTTTTAGGCTTGGCTAAATCTATGTATTCTGTGAATTCTCTCTTGTTCGTTGTGAATGGGTGAGTAAAGTTTTCAGCTCTGCTACAAATACGCTTTCAATAAGTCTTTCCAAGTCCGTTTTTGGACATTTGTACTGTAAATTACAGAGCAGAAACCAAGAAACTCAATGAGAAAAGGTCGTATTGACTCTTGTTGTGTCTAGTAAAAGTGTCTCAGATGAATAAACAAAAAATAAACAAAATTATTTTGTTTCTGGGTGGAAGAAAGACCAGATTTACACACGCCCATTGCAGCAAACAAACGAGCAAACTCTCACAACTTCAAAACATACATTTGAATTTACTTGCACTTACTTTTGTTGTCATTTACTGACTGACAGAGGTAAATCTTTGTACATTAGTTGTTGGTGGAAGTGAATAATACTTTACCTAAGAACATTGACTGTTTTTGAAGAAAAAATTGTTGTGAGAGTTCATGAACTTTTTTTCGAAAGTGTACATGCACTTTTTTTTTCAAGTGCTCTCTAATTGACAGGTGTCACATGGTGACAGATACTTGTAAAAATAATGTTTCCAAGTTTGTTTGGAAGCTTTATAAATCACCTACATCATAAGGCAAATAACAATGTTTTGGTGAAGCCTTTCTCTTTAATTTGCATTACCTCCATTTTAACTATAATTTACTCGCTAAAGGTTTGTTCAGTTTATGGAGGATCTTGCCATAATTACAGCCCTAAATCAATTCATGTTCTTTTGGCAAGTATTTTGTTAACTTCAAGGAAAAATAAAAAATGTTCATAACCAGTCTAGGTTGGTCTGAATTGTGTGTCTTGTGTCTGTCTCGTGTACTGCCTTTGGCAGTACTAAAGACTTTGGGCACAGTTTTTCCCAATACTGACCTCCCGGCCTATGATTAACATATAATTATTATCCAACTGCACCTAAGAGAGTACAAATAATGCACGGATCGAGTTTAAAAATCTCACTATAGTTGGACAGTTGGTTATTTTGTACAATAATGAAACCTGTTTTAAACATGGATTGAATTTACACAAAAAAATCATCCTTAGTTTTAATCGAGTCGTTCCGCTTTATATGACCATTCATTACAGGTGGAAGACAACACAAACAGGCTATTGTCACTCAGTCAAAGGTAACCACGACCACTTATTAGAGGTGACCACTATAAAGAGGTGAAAATTACAACAATTAAGGAGAAAAAAATTTGGGACTCTGACAACTGACCACTAAATACAGGGTAACCGCTTAATATAGTGCTGCTTAATATAAGTTTGACTGTATCATTTATTCAACAGCTGTGGCAGCTTTTTATGACATATTGAAAAAAAGACTTACATTGCACAGTGACATAAGCTCTTACTGTCTTTTCCCATCTCACTCCATTGCTTGCGATGCAAACATATTCTCCTGCATAATTCCTGTTACTACTAGAGATGTTCAGCTGTTTGGTGTCTGACAACTTAATCCCAGATTTTTCCCATCTTATCTTAGGTTCAGGAAAACCAGAGGCATCACAGCTCAAAAACAGAGGAGCTGAAGTGTTAACTGTTATATTCTGTGGCACTTCTGTGAACTGGACAGGAACTGGAGAAAAGGAGAGGAACAAAAGAGTTTTCAAACCATAACATTAGAGTGTGATTTGGTTCAATATCATCCACTTCATACACTAAAAAAATATTGAAAAAAAAAAAAAAAAAAAAACGGAAACAAACTTTCACTTTATCAGCTAATCATAATTTGCACCGGTTTTAAAATATTCCGATGAAAAGCAAATATTCTGATGAAAAGCATAAGTTTACAGTTTTTAGTGGACACAGGATAATTGCTTCAGCCCGGCAAGCACCACGGGGTGCCATTCCTGCCAAATCATTGTTTTGTTTCTATGATGCACTTGTGAACCATAATTAGGCTTGTTTCGTTATTATTAGACTCAAGTTCATCATAATAAGTTATTGGTTTTTATTATTTAGCACCTGCCATTTTGTTATTAGGCACAAGCCCATCATTATTAGGCATCTGTTCATCATTATTAAGTACCAGTTCATTATTATCAGGCACAACTTTAGCTATTAGGCACTCATTTACTATTAGGCCCTGGCTAAATTTTCTGAGACAGGCATCCTTCACCACCTCTTTTCCAAAGTACCTTGGGAAGGAGCATTGTGTGGAAAGCTGAGGGAGTCACCTCTTCAGGTGGACTTTTTTTCTCCTTCCCCTAACCCACCTCACACTCTGCACTCATTCCCATTACTCCCAGGAAAAACCTGTAAAGGGAGGGGGGGGGGGGCAGGCACAACCGTGTCAACCTTGTTACTAGGGTCTCTATTCTTCTCTGGTCAGGGATGTAATAATTCAGAGTGTTGGAAGTTTCATTGTTGCAATGTAAATAGGTAAAAAATGTTTTTTGGATTACTTGTCCAAATTACTTAAAAATGCTCAAAGACATTTCTGCCCACCATTTATGTTAAGTCTCACAGTGGCTTCTGCTCCATCTCCAACAGCATTATGTGGGACACATTTGTAATCACCATGGTGCTGAGATCGGTTGACGTTATTGAGAGTATACTCACTGTTGCTGTTATCACTGAGGAGGGAGCCATTGAAGTAAAACTTGTAAATTGACACTTGTGGCACAGCAGCCATAACTATGCACTTGAATGTAACTGTATCTCCTTTAATGATGGTATTTTGTGAAGTATTGGTAGTGAGCCTTGCACCTTCAGGTTTGTCTAAAAATGTAAATCAAAATCAAAATCTTAGTCTCTGTTTATTTCATGACTCACACATTTCCCCTGGTTATTAATCATAATCCTTGTAAAAAAGTCTAGAGGGGGTAAGATAATGCAATAAGGAAGTATTAATCTTGTGTGTGGGGTTAATCTCGTAAAAAAAATCAAGATCCAAGGTTCTGCAGTGCAAATAAGGTTGAGTCAAATCCAGCAATAAGCTAATTACTGTTAATGCCGACAAGGACTTGTTTGTCAAGCTCCTCATCTCATCCAATCTGCCTGAAAGATGTGCTGAGCTTTGACTTTGACAAATCCACAGGTTGTTTCTTTTCTCAACTGTTTTGCTTAATATAACACTTCTAAAGATGGGTTTTATTGTGGTTCAATGGGAAAACGAGAACAGCGTGAGTGTTGCAAATGAAAAGAAAGTTGTTGGAGCCGTGGAATTAAAAGAAGGGACAATTAACAGTTGACATATTGACTGGTTCAAACAACGATCGAGTGGCCATTTATAAAGCTAGGATTTTGAAAGTTTGTGGTGAGTACAAATTGCGATATTCATTACGTGATCAAAATCTTACCAAAGAATAGATATAACGGCTTGAATTAAGCTCACGTAACGCTCGGCGCAACTGAAACTCGAATAATTTTGAGAATCGAATTAGTCACTTGCTGCAGTTTCCTATGCTTACACTTTACAATGAAATAAATCTATCAGTAAGGTTTCAAGATTACTTTCGTCACGTTTGGGAACATTCTGACCTTGCTTTGCTTTGAAAAATTCGACTTAAGAGAGAGCAGAATTTAAATCACTACCTTCTTTGTCAAATTTTTGATAACATGAATTATTGAGGTTTTGTCTTTCTTCTATTCTTTGATATACAACAGCCAATTTTTTTTAAACTTTGAGCCATATTACACTGTAAATGGTCTGCATAAATAATGAAGAAAAAGTAATATGCTGAGTTGTGCTGTTATTCTTTAAAAGTGTTCGGTTAAGAAATTTGTTAATGAAACAACGTCGAACACATGCTGGTTCATTGCAAATAAATTGGGAGATCTTGATCACATATAGTTTGTGTATTCATGTACTGTTTGATGTTACAATTGGAGGTGTCAGTATGTTATATAGCTAGTTGGAAAGTTTTGGACCCTCAGTGGATTGATGGGGTCTATAGCTCACCTAGAAAATTTTATCCTCTTAATTTGAAGGATTAGGTTACAAAAGGAATTGAAAAGATATCCCATCTAGTACATTTCATAAATCTGTGGTCTCCACTGTTAAACAGGATCCCACTAAGGATTTTTCTGAAAGTGGGAAGCCATCTAAAAATTTTATGCAGGGTCTAAACTGGGATTGGCATGATCCCAAGTGCAATCCCGCCTGAGAGGTGATTTCCTGGGTGGGAAACTATCTGAAATTTAAGGCAGGATCCCAGGAGGGATTGGTGGGATTCTGGGTTTAATCCCGCCTGGGATGTGCTTTCCCAAGTGGGATGCTATTAGGAATTTAAGGTAGGATCCCAACTTCAATTGGCGGGATCCCATGTGGGATCTCATGCAGGATGTTCCATAATCCTGGGTGGGATCCCACCTGGGAAACACCTGGGATCCCAGGTGGGATTGGCAGGATGCTATTAGGAATTTAATGTGGGATCCCATGTGGGATCCCATGCAGGATGTTCCATAATCCCAGGTGGGATCCCACCTGGGACACACCTGGGATCCCAGGTGGGATTGGCAGGATCCCACCTTATATTTTTACCTGGGGGGTCATATGGTAGATCACATGACCTCAATTTGCACATCCTGAGTATGATTGGGATAAATGTTGTTAAGATGTAACTATAACTGAAGTTTTCTGTCATAACAAATGAATAGTTTTGGTATTACCAGTGGTTAAATGGCTGTGCCTTGTTTCCATGAATTGAAAGGGTGACATACAAAAATGCCTTCTTAACTCATAATAACTAATTCTCAATTCAACTCTACAAACTATCTCCCAAACCAGAAAGTCACGGAAATCAATTATCAAAGCACAGCATTTGTCTTTCCTTTCCCAGTTTTTAGATGGAAAAAAGCGAAGGTTGTAATCACTCAGTAGTAGAGTCCATCACTTTTGTATTATTTAGCACTCAAGTATTTAGTATAAGGTGGCAAGGCCTTCAAATTATGAATTATAAAATGGATTTTTTCCCCTAAATAGTATATCTTTTTGAATGCCACACATGCAAATATGTGCACAAATCTTAAGCATGTGGTATTAGTTTTAGCCACTTTTTTGCTTTTATGTACTTATCTCAGCTATCAGTAAAACACTGAAATGTGCAATTTATCAGCTGACACTTGGAATTTTGGCCAGTTCTCAGATTTCCATCTAGCTTCAACCAAGGCGCTTTGCACTAGCCTTGTGCACTATAGTCAAATGGAGTGAATTTTGGGTTGTCACAATGACTCAGAAATGGCCTTAAGCCATTTTCTGAGTTTAACACAATCCAACTGAAGCAACAACTTGGTAAAAACATTTTCATGCCCTCCTAAACAAAATAATGTGAGTAATTATTCCACTGAAATTCAAGTGTCCCAACCAGTACTTAGGACCAATGCATACAAAGCCAAAAAGGATTTGATGTGGAATTCAGTTTTCTTGCACTTTTGGACAGATTTGTCAATTTTGTGTAACTGACCCTAATAACAGGAGTCGCACTGTAAACTTTAATTAAATTCAGATATAGAAAATTAAGGTTAAAATATACTTACAGTGAACTACAATTGTTGTGTTAATGGAGGTGACTTCCATTGAGTTATTGGCTTGACATGTATATTTTCCTGCATCTGTTCTGTTTATATTATTGAACTCCAAAGATGCAGCTTCCTTCCCTGAACTTTTCCATACTCCATTTTTAATCCATGCTACATATGGTGGTGGTTTCCCAGAAGCTTTACAGGTTATGGTGGCATTGGATCCTTCAATGAAATATTTTCCTCCTAAAGAGAGGTTTATAAGTAATGCCTCTGAAAGGTAAAAGAAATTATATCATTCCACATATGGTGTAACAAATCTTACTTGGACTGAGTCCTAAAATTTACCCAGTTACAATAAAATAATCAAAAGTATCCAGCAATTGGTCTCCAACAACCAACCTAGGGAATTAAGGGATAATTCAGGAAGTCACTCATTAAACTAAGGACCCCGGCTTTAAAGCTACTCCCAATTTTCTTGATAAAACTTTTATTGAAAGTTAAAACTTTTGCTGCTGCACAAACAAATAGGAACAGAGCCAATCAAGCCACACCTCACTTGGAACTTAGCCTGAAAGAGGATCTACTATAGCATCCCCAACCCAGAGAATTGAAATTTTGATGAAAGAGAAACCATGAATTATTTGGGATAAAAAGAATACACCAGTGGCATGCTGAATGCTGCTTGCCATTACCTAAAGTTAAAAGGTGAACTTTTATCAAACATTACATAATTTGATTGCTCATCATGATTGTTCTACAAAGGGAGTTTGCAGAATGGAGAGTTTTTGACTCTTTCTCCACATGTTGAAATATTATACTCACAAATAAAACGTTCTTAAGCCCAAGTCAAACGCCAAGAAAACAAATTACTTCCCTGCATTAAGAATGGACTGTATGGAGACCACTATTAACAATTTGTACTAAAACTAGTATTATTAAAAGTTTTGCAAGTTCCCAACAGAGAGGTTATCACACAGCAAATTAAACACATACTCAATCTGTTGCGGGCATTACAGTACAGGTCAGAGGTACTTGACCCTAAATTCACGCGAAAAGTGCGTTAAAAAACCCATGCACACACGTGCAATTTTTTCAAACGCACGCAAAAAAACGTGCGCGAAAGAAGCTCATTAATATTTATGAAGCAATCTTTTGTTTAACGTTGAATGGTGTGTTTTATTTATAACAAAGGAAGGATTCCATGTTAGTGACATGACGTGGTTTTGTCCGAAAGCGTTTGGCGTCAGTTTATTTTTGAAATGGCCTGCCTGCATTGTAAAGAGAAAAAAAAAAGGTTTTGACCTGCTGGGTACTTCCTTAGAGAGCGAGCAAGCTCAGAAAATATCAGGCTCAATAAAGTCGTTTTCGTAAAAGTTTACGGCTAGCAACTAGCAGCAAAAGTTGAATCGTATCCATTCATTCATCAGTAAAGTCATGTGAAGTTATCTGTAGTTTACTGGAGCCATTTTCCTAAAGTTTTACCAGGATAATTTTAGGGTCATAGATCACTAAATTAAATTCTAGGGTAAATCTTCTTCAAGCCAGAAAGTACCTGAATTTATCACTTAGGAATTTGCTATACAACGCTTTAATTAAACCAATATTTGAATATTGTTGATCAGTGTGGGAAACACTAAGACTGATAATTTACAAAGGCTCCTAGGAATTCAAAAACGTTGTGCCAGAGTAATTTTAAATGCAGGCACTGAAAGAACAGTTGGCCTTTTTAAGATATTAGGTTGGATTCCCATTAGTGACATAATAGAGCAAAAGAAATTGTGTATTATGCATAACATTATCCATAGGATATATTTACCATAATTAATCATTATATTCGTTATGTTAAAAATAGACATCATTACACAACTCGGGCGTCAACTAAAATGAACTTATCCACACCTTTCTTTAGCACCATGACCAGCAAACGTTCATTTCTTGCAAGTGGCACTAGATTATGGAACAACCAAGACAGTGCCACTAGGGTCTCACTTCCTTTGTAAATTTAAAAATCAACTATACAAGAAATATATATATCGGAACTCCAGAGTTGATAACTTTACTATAAGCAGAAATTTTTAATAAATTTTTCATTTTTAACTGTATTTTTACTTCGTATTTTTGCTATTTGAAGTTTTAGAGGACCACAATGAGTACTACTGGTTTTACCAGTAATTGTGTTATTCAATAAAGTCATTATTATTATTATTATTAAGTGAAGAAAATAAGATTCCATTCAGCTGTTTGCGGTTAACGTTAAGCTAAAAAACATATTTGTTCACAAGTTGACAAGACTGCCGCTACTGTTCGAACGATTTGATTCGCTCTGTTTTCTTGAATCTTAAGTGTGAATCTGGATTGCCAACAGAATTGCTCATAACTCCGCTCATTATCAACACTCTTATCGAGGAACAGAAGTAAACAAGAACGAGCATCTGTTAAAATTTGTCATGACGATCATTATCATTATCACATAATGCTATGCATGAATAAAGTACGAACGAAGCAAAACTGCTCTTATGAAGGCAGCATTTCCTGAAATGTCGCGCGTAACATTTGTATTCAGTTTCAACCTTAAAAATCAAAAGCTTTAAATCGCTGACAGTTAAAGCCATTCTCACAACCGATAGACGATGTTCAAATTTCGAGATGAACACAGTGATGTGTTCCGTTTCTATAGGACAGGTATCGGCGGAATGATTATTTTGTATATAGGAATCATTTTTCTAGTTTTTTTGCTTAGTACGGATGATTAAGGTACAAAAAGAATTAAGCTGGTTTGATCAGACTTATTTATATTGCTTGTTTATTCTTGTATTATTCTTGCCCATTATAAGCCCGAAAACGTTACCCGTGGTGAGCGTCTGTACCGAGTACTTAGGCACTAACGTACTAAGGCACTAAACAAATGAAGAACAAGCCGTGATGAGTTGTCCGTACCTAGTACTACAGTACTAACGTACTAAGCAAAAAAACATGCCGTGGTGAGTGTCTGTACCGAGTACTAAGGTATTAACGTACTAAGGCACTAAACAAATGAAGAACAAGCCGTGATGAGTTGTCCGTACCGAGTACTCTAGTACTAACGTACTAAGAAATAAACACCCGTGATGAGTTGTCCGTACCGAGTACTACAGTACTAACGTACTAACAAATAAACATGCCGTTGTGAGTGTCTGTACCGAGTACTACGGTACTAACGTACTAAGAAATAAACATGCTGTGGTGAGTATCTGTACCGAGTACTAAGGTACTAACGTACTAAGGCACTAAACAGGTGAAGAACACGCCGTAACGAGTTGTCCGTACCGAGTACCACAGTACTAACGTACTAAGCAAATAAACAAGCCGTGATGAGTTGTCCGTACCGAGTACTACAGTACTAACGTACTAAGAAATAAACAAGCCGTGATGAGTTGTCCGTACCGAGTACTAAGGTACTAACGTACTAAGAAATAAACAAGCCGTGATGAGTTTTCCGTACCGAGTATTACGGTACTAACGTACTAAGGAAATAAACAAGCCGTGATGAGTTTTCCGTACCGAGTACTACAGTACTAACGTACTAAGAAATAAACAAGGTGTGGTGAGTTGTTCGTACCGAGTACTACAGTACTAACGTACTAAGAAATAAACAAGCCGTGATGAGTTGTCCGTACCGAGTACTAAGGTACTAACGTACTAAGAAATAAACAAGCCGTGATGATTTGTCCGTACCGAGTACTACAGTACTAACGTACTAAGAAATAAACAGGCCGTGATGAGTGTCTGTACCGAGTACTACGGTACTAACGTACTAAGAAATAAACAAGCCGTGATGAGTTGTCCGTACTGAGTACTACGATACTAACGTACTAAGAAATAAACAAGCCGTGATGAGTTGTCCGTACCGAGTACTAAGGTACTAACGTACTAAGAAATAAACAAGCCGTGATGAGTTGTCCGTACCGAGTACTACGGTACTAACGTACTAAGAAATAAACAAGCCGTGGTGAGTTGTTCGTACCGAGTACTACAGTACTAACGTACTAAGAAATAAACAAGCCGTGATGAGTGTCTGTACCGAGTACTACAGTACTAACGTACTAAGAAATAAACAAGCCGTGATGAGTGTCTGTACCGAGTACTAAGGTACTAACGTACTAAGAAATAAACAAGCCGTGATGAGTTGTCCGTACCGAGTACTACAGTACTTACGTACTAAGAAATAAACAAGCCGTGATGAGTTGACCTTACCGAGTATTACGGTACTAACGTACTAAGGAAATAAACAAGCCGTGATGAGTTTTCCGTACCGAGTACTACAGTACTAAGAAATAAACAAGCCGTGATGAGTTTTCCGTTTCGAATACTACAGTACTAACATACTAAGAAATAAACACGCCGTGGTGAGATGTCCGTACCGATTACTACAGTACTAACGTTCTAAGAAATAAACAAGCCGTGATGAGTTGACCTTACCGAGTACTACAGTACTAACGTACTAAGAAATAAACAAGCCATGATGAGTTGTCCGTACCAAGTACTACAGTACGTTGGTACACAAGAGACATGCAGTCCTTTAATCGACCCTAGTACGTTGGTACGCAAGTCATTCATGCTTGTTCGAGAAGTGTAGTTAGTACGCTAGTACGTTGGTACGCTAGTGAAATGCGGTCCTCTGATCGAGCGCTTGTACACAAGGACGTAGATCAGTCATGGTTGTCGCAGAAGTGGAGTTAGTACGCTAGTACGTTGGTACACACGAGACATGCAGTTCTTTAATCGAACCCTTGTATGTTGGTACGCAAGTCATTCATGCTTGTTCGAGAAGTGTAGTTAGTACGCTAGTACGTTGGTACGCTAGTGACATGCAGTCCATTAATCGAACGCTAGTACATAACGAAGCAATTCATTCATTGGAAAAGTGGAGTTAGTACGCTAGTACGTTGGTACACTAGTGACACAGTTAGCATACGTACTGATAGTACTGTAGTACTGGTGAACACCGTTAGTACTGTAGTACTAATGACTAAGCAAAAAACTAAAAGAAATCTTTCCTAAAACGGGCAGCATATGTAATTTTGCACAAATTACAGGTCACACGACCTCAAAGACAAACGGGATTAATTAATGATTCCTAAACAACGCGCGTTATATAGACGTCAGTTTTATCGATGTTATGGGTATCCTCGATGCCGCACTTAAAAAAAAAATGGCTAATAGAGGATCAAGGGGGAGCTCATAGCATACCCGTCTGTTGCCACTCGACCGTTGTTCACAAATTTAAATGTGACCTGTGCGATGCAGGTTATGTTGGTTTTACACGCTGCCATCTGCGTAAACATGTTCAATAACACAGAAAATCGACTCCATCGATTAACAAGCATTTTCGCAACAAGCATTATTTGGCCCCAAGGGATCTTACGAAGAATTTTAGTCTTTTAAAGAAGAATGCGAACAAATTTGACTACCTAATTTATGAAATGTTTTTTATTCAAGAACTTAACCCTGCTTTCAATGTGCAGTCGGACTTAATTCGTGCAAAGGTTTTTAATTAGGATTTTAATTTTAATTTTTAAATTTAATTTGGTTTCAATTAGCTTAATTATTTCTTCTCTTTGCATGTTCTTATTGTCCGTTTACACTTCCAAAACATTTTCTACTTCTTACACGCATATATATTTTCATCGTGACATTCTTACTATTCACTTGAAAATGACCGAAGTTTGATCGAAACGTCGTCTTCTACCGTTCATTTTTATTGTCAAAAATTTTAGGAAATCGCTATTGATCTGTCTAATATCTATAGAATAATATCTGCACATTTACAATTGCTGATCTGAAACTTTGAAGAAAATATTGTACAAATAAAATATGTAATTTTTCTCTCTGTGCCCATTTGTTATTAACCTGCCATCTCGTAAGTAGGCGCAGAATTGTCTAGCCCACAACATATACCAGATCTCCACCAAGATTACGCTGAGTCATCGCCGCACTTTGCTGGTATTTCTATGTAAACGCAGCTATGGTTAAAGTACATTTACGCAAAGTGAATTTGTTCAAAATGCCACTTAAAGTAGAAGTCTGAACCCAATCAAGAAAAATCATCAACTCTTATCAACTAGGAAACTAGGAGACCAGAAGAAGGCAGATTTCCTCCAAATTGTGATAAAATGTGCCGCCTATCAAAAGGAACAAAATAGTGCTTAGCTGTCTTCCAATCGCAAAAACCGTGGGAGCATTAGCCTCATCAATGTCATCGATAACATCAGCCGTAAAATAACAGAAACCTTAGGATGTAAGCCAAATTTAAGTGTCCTACATGGCTAAACATGGAAGACCCTATGCTACTTGGAAAAAGGTATTTAATCACTTGAAGATGAAATATAGTAAGATAAAGATGAAATTTTTTCGAAAATCAATGCCAAAAGGATTATGATGAACACACTAAGTCAAAACTTGCAAAACTATTGACAGCGCACGGGACATCTTGGATACGAGGTTAGCAGACGGGAGAAAACTATGGAATGAAGAGCTGTCAAACCGGTCAAACGAGAATCAAATTCACTAAAACACACTTCTCCACAACAATAGTTTATCTGGTTACATAACAGACTCCATTCTTTATGTCACAACTTTTGTCCAAACGCAATCTACACGTCAACGACAACCAGCATTTTGGTGGAGATGAAAGACATGAAAGAGATGACAATTTGTATTCACTAGTCATAGACGATCAAAAACAGTTAGCAGAGAGACATGACTTGAAGCTACTCTGGTTTAAAGATTTAATGAATGTAACCGAAGAAGTTACAATTCATAGACCCAACGTTTCGACACTCCTGTCCAGTGCCTTCATCAGGGGTGATCTAAACGCTGCAACAAGATGTCCTTTAATACGATCGCTAATTCGCTGGTTTTTTTTTCCGACGAGGTGTAAATGGGCGTCAGGAAGTAAGTCGCCATTATCACGATAAATTTTTATTCTTTGCAAAAGAAAACCGCTTTTTGATGCTCCTTCAAACGTGTGCCAAACTGACTTTGGTCTATCCGATGTATTCGTTGTCACAGTCATCGCAAGGAATAGAATAAACGGCGTCTGTTCGTTGAAAAGGTTTTTGAGCAACTTTAACGTTGTGGCTATTCAAAATTCTCTTGATGGGTTCCGTAACACCCTGAATGTAAGGAATAATGGCAAAACCAGTCGCTGGTTCTCTTTCATCAGGAGTGCTACTAGTTGTAACTGGTTCTTGGCAGTTACGGAGAAAAGTTTTTGTATTGCCATTCGCCTTTACGACATTAGAAACATATTTTCTCCCTCAGCCTTCGAATCGAGTGAAGATGGTAGACAATTAGCCCTCCTGAGTAAAGTTTTGGCTGCAGACTTTTTATGGAAAATAGGCTGGTGAGAATCGAAAGCGAGGTATTTGTCGGTGTGGGTAGGTTTACGATAGACACTTGTCTCTAAATTCCCCTGTTCCCCTCTGGACACATTTAAATCAAGAAAGGGCAGATGTCTATCCTTTTCACGCTCAAGGGTGAATTGGATAGACGGCTCTACCTAATTCAAATGCGATAGGAAGCGCTCCGCTTCATTTCCGGATACCGTAGAAATAACATCATCGACATATCGTTTAATTTCCAGAAAAAGGGTTTAACCGGTGAATTAGCTAAGGCCTTTTGTTCCACGTCTTCTATTACCATGTTGGCATTGACAACAGAGACGGGCGAACCCATAGCTGTACCAAAAACCTGTTGATAGTGGGTGCCGTTGTATGCAAATTGCGTGGTTTTGAGGCAAAAAGACAGCATATGAATAATATCCTTCACTGAAAAAAAGTTCTTTGTCCTGGGGAAGCATCTTCTCTTAGCCTCTCCTCCGCATCCTTAACGGCAAGATCACCTGGGATTTTAGCGAAGGGCGAAACAACGTCGAAAGATACTAATTCTTCCCAGGCGTTAAGAGTTTTATCTCTCATGAAATCCGCAAATTCGCAGGAATTTTTGACTGATTACAATGTCGGAGCACTCTTGCCTAACTAACGATACAATTGGGTGGGATAAGTCTTAAATTATCACCCCTAGTCGGCGTTACCACCAGCGCCTTTGTTTGGAAGCCTGGCAAATTAACTCCACCCACGCTCCTTTAAATTGTGATAATGGCGGCTTACTTCCTGACGCCCATTTACTCCTCGTCAGAAAAAAAGGCAGCTAGTTAGCGATTGTATTAAAGGACATCTTGTTGCAGCGTTTACTAATCACCCCTGATGAAGGCACAAGGCAGGAGTGTCGAAACGTTGGGTCTATGAATTGTAACTTCTTCGGTTACATTCATTAAATCTTTAAACCCGAGTAGCATCAAACTATGTCTGATTGTCCACCTGGTTACCATGTGAACTTTATTATACAATATAGTAAACAGTGAGTTTGGATTCTTCACAACAAGTGAATAAAATCGTTCAAGCAAACAATGAAGTAAATTGTACATGAGTATTGAAATATCACAAATGTTTTCAACTTTGAATCACAGTTAAATGACCAACAAGTTACACACTGAGTCTTAATATCACAATTGTTTTCATGTACTTAAGGTTGTTAGGACATCCAAGATACTGTGTTGGAAAATGAAAGTTTAAACACTCAGATAGAAGATTAAAAAGTCTTTCAAAGAACAATACGCTTCCGTTTTATACATGAAAAGTTTTTGAAAAGTTTAGGTTGCATGAGCTCAAAAATGTTTCATACTCTAAATTGAAATTGAATACTTTTAGTCCCTTGGAGCTCTTTGCAGAACTCAGCCAGTTTCTCAGTGGAGCAACCAAAGTCAGCAATAAAATTACAGCTGTTGAATGAATAACTGCATTTTCTCAGAACAGGATTCCTACCTGGCCAAGTTGATCATCATTGAATTATTTTCTGTTTACATGCTCAACGTCTTTAAAAGAGCATAAAGAGCTTGGATTATAGACTTTGTTGGTTTATTGCTTCCATAACTTTAAAAAAATTTTGCTCCATTGTACAAATCAAATCCAGGTATTGACGGGCTCCTTGGTCTCAGAACTTACTTGAGGAAGTCACTGTTCTGTTGACTAAATTTACATCTGTAAACCTTGAAGATCACAATCCTCAGAAAGCAGCCAAAGGTGTAATGCCGACTTTCATTCCCTTTAGCAAGTCCCTTTAAAAGGCTTGAAAAGCAATGCCAGTTTTTTCACTCCAAATTAATTTCACATGCTGTTTGTGATTGGTCATGCAATATTGTCCTTCACTGATTTAGCAAAATCATAGAACCAGCGAGATTGTTTCTAGTTTTGACTGACCATTTTTAATTGACAGCTTTGCTGAGAGAAAATCTCAATATTCATATTAATAACAATCATCTATGCATAACAGAGCAACCCAGTGGTTGGTGCCAGGAGAATAAAGCAATAACTCTATGATTTCTCTCAGATGAGAATTACAACAAAGTAAACAGTAGAATTTATTTTCTCCTTTTCTGGAACGTTGCATGCCAAGTAAAAGTAGCTCTATTGTTCCCAAAAGTTGGGTTAGCTAGCCACTTTCAGCCTTGCATATGAAAATATGAGACATGAGTTGAATAAATTTGATCTATGTTTGATTATCAGTGGTTATGTCTTTAATGCATACCTGCCACAATAAGCTGAGCTGTACTTTTAACACTCCCTGAAAAGCTTCCCCACATTTCACATTCAAATTCGGTATTGTCTCCAGGTTTGATGTCCTTGATAACCAGGGTAGCTCTTCCTTCAATTTTCACTCTTCCTTTGTAAGATGGAGGAATGTCAGGATGTTCTTGGACGCCATGACTGTCATTAACCATCATTCTCACAAATTTACCATCTACCAGAACACTATAGATAATGTATTGAATCTTATTTTGTGGATCAGTGTAGTCCCACACCAGCTTGGCATCACTGCCATTGTTGAAGTAGCTTGGATTAGTAGGCTCCTGGGTGAAACGCACATCCACAGCCCCTATAAAATAGACAACAATAAACATAATATTCTCAGCCCTTTAATTACAAGTGTAAGGATAATATTTAGGAGGAAGGGCTTAAATAGAGTCCACCAGAGAGGCACTTTTAGTGTAAGCAGTAACAACAATAAGTGTAACTATGCATTACATTTGAAAAGTTGTATGGTCTTATCTGAGCAACCTACGAGTTTTTGTCTATAAAAATTGTACACGCAAACTTTAAGTAATGTAAGGAATTGTGGGTTGTGTGTGCTTTATATGCAGAAAATGGAGCAACATTCACGGTTACTGCTGGGAACAAAGTAAGGACAAAAATGAGGAATAAATTAAATGATTGAAAAGCGTTTGTTAATACCATGGGAATTTTAGTACCAATCCGAAACATAAATTTTTGGTCATTCAGATAGGCACAAATGAGATGACAAAGATGGACCGTAATGCTTTCTTATCAGAGTCAGATTCTGGAAATTTAAGTCTTTCTTACCATTTTGGAGGAGAATACTCTTTAGTTCCTTGGATTGTAAATGTCAGGAATTCATCAAAGCAAAGATTTTGATGGAGATTGTGATCAGTTTGCGTGAGGTGAAATTGGTGAGTGATTTTCACCAATTTTTATGAAATCCAGTTTTCTCTGACATTATCTTCTTTAATTAATTTAAATCGTTTACACAAACCACTGACTTCTTGTTTTTAACCTTAAAGTCATAATTCTACAGTTATATGCAACCAGCAAACATTGCTGACATTCACTTTCATTCACTTTGGCAAGCCCCCACAACACAAGGGTAAAAAAGCCATGTTATTGTTTTTACTGGTCATTCAACATTTCACCTTCAACTTGTGATTGGTCAGATGCTGATTTCTCATTTGTGAGAAAAACCATCCAACCTATATGTCTATTACAAATCAATTTTTTTTTCAAATTTAGCTTGGAGTAAATCTCAGGGTGTATATTATAAGCCCACATGTATACACATGCATTTCAAAAATTTTGGTCCTAGTAAAACTTACCTTTTTCTAAATATATAACAAAAATAAGTAGCCCAAGACTACCGGTGTGGGATACCACAACCATATGTGCATAACGCTAAAAACTGGTCAAGTCAGTAGACATATCATACATGAAGGTAAATGAGCAAATAATGCTCAATATCCATCCAAGTGCATTATTTCGTTTCTTTACAAGATTGCTGCCTGGAGGAAAACTCACACTCAACTTATATTAGCTAGCAGCTGAGGTCATTCTTTGAACCAATAATGAGTGGAAAAATTTTTAACAGCTCTTCTCAATGATGAGTGATGGATGGCAAGGAAGAGACTTTAGGTACAGATGGCAACTCTTTCCTGGGTTTGCATAGCCATCATGTTTGTAGTGGAGAGCCACCACACAAGCAGTAACTTTTCTCATGGCTAAGAACACGACTCACACTTGTCAAGAATATAGTGCATCTCTCAGTTTCAATTTTGATGTTATATTCTGAACGTATGGTATTGTTACACTTGAAGCATAAAATCCTTTGCTCTTGATTTCTATCGCATCATGGTTATTCAGACCTTATTTATCGCGTGATTGAAACCCCAACAACATATCTTAAATTTGAAATACAAAAACTGCTAAAAGCCATCTTGGAGTTCGGAAATCATTTTGACAAACATCACGGTCAGAAAGAAAGGGTCGGCGTTTTTGGTGTCTAAGCTTGAAATGGTACACGGTAAAAACACAGTAAAATCCTTTGTACGGGAGAATAAATTTCACACGTACCTGACCCGTGAAACTTTACCAGCAGAAGAAAGAGTACGTAAATTTCATAATCACGGAAAGACACCATCTTATCAGACCCTCGCTGATGCTTCAATGAGGAAGGTTGTGCCTAAATCTTACGGAAGTCCCTTGAAGGGATAGAAGAGGAGGCCCCTCTTCGTTTTGAGACTGGGACCGAGTGTCACGACCACTCTTCGTGAACTTGTCGACCGAAGTGGGTGTCTCCAAACCGAAGACCGAAGACCGAAGACCGAAGACCGAAGACCGAAGACCGAAGACCGAAGACCGAAGATTTGGAAATCAATTAAATGAAATGTGCTGAAACGCTTTTTTCGACGCCAAAACAATGAAATCGATTAGGTCTTCGTTTTGTAGTTTTACCCGCCTCAAACTACAAAACGAAGACCTTCGCCAAAATGCTTTATTTGACGCTAAAACATTGAAATCGATGGGGTTTTCGTGTTGTAGTTTTGCCCACCTCAAACTACAGAATGAAGATCCCCGCCAAAACACTTTACTTGACGCTAAAACACTGAATTCCATGGGGTCTTCGTTTTGCAGTTTTACCCGCCTCAAACTACAAAACGAAGACCCTCTCTAAAATGCTGGTGTCCATTTTGTAGAAATTGCCGACCTTCACGTCAAGAGACTGTGAGATACTACCATACGACTAAGAAGTGTCTAACCAACAGATTTCCTTTTTTTTCGGTTGACTACGTGAAAATTCCTAATGATGTGAAATATAGCCTTCAAAATTCACACAAGAAGTATCTCACAAGCGAGGTTGGGCTGACATTCGAATAAAACGTGAAACTGCGTTCCTGTTTGTAAACGGACGTTTTTAGTACTTGTGCCTCAATTTCCCTACAACAGTTTTAAATTGAGTGTCGTAAAATCATGAGCGAAGGCAGCCTAGTGGACCCATCACAATTTGAAGTAATTACATGCAAACGGCGCCAAACGCAGAAAAATTAGCGCACGTAGCTAGCGTTTTGGTCTTGCTTTTAATTGGATGAGAAAATGGCTCGAGTTTTTTCAACCAGTTATACATACGCAGATTACTTTCGAGAGCATGTAAACTTCGTATTGATAGTTAAATTGAATTATGGGGACATGACTGCTTCATATTGTAAGTACAGTACCACCTTGTGACAAAAATTAATGATTTCCTGTAAGCATTAAGGTTAGGGAGAAGTTATGGTGGTAATTGACCCTTTCTTTGCTAGGATGCATAGGGTGTAATGACTGTAATGTATATCTTTTAGCTTTAAAACTTTCAACTTTGTATTAATTGTAACTGTTTGCCATATTTATTTCTCTGTACGTTAATCCCTCAAAGTTGAAGCAGGTGAGTCAATAACCTGACTTCCTTTGTCTGGAATTGTGTGATTATATAATTTCGCTGTGGAAGTTACCACAAGCTTTCATTAATGCATGGTATTTCTTATCAATGCTTATACCTAAACGAAAGTTTGATATACGGAATTGGTTTCAAGATACGGGAGTTTTAAAGGGCTAGAATCTGGAAAGGCAAGGATCCTCCTTTAATTTGGACTGAAATTAATGGGGGCCCTCCTTTTTTAATTCATGTTTTTACTTTAACCTGCATCCTCCCCTGTAATGTTTGGGGCACATAGATGAAGAGAAAATTGTTTGTATTTTAACGCATGAAAGTTATTAAGGCTCAATTTTCCAAACTGCAATTATAAGTCACGCTCAATAGAATATAATTGTAAATGATCCTGACATCATACACTTCATCTGAAGAAGAAAACATTCTCTATCTTCGAAAATTTGCTCAAAACATAAGGAACAACAGCAAGGATCCCAGGCTGCTTAAAGATACCGCTGACTAGCATGCGTGTTGATCGACTTGCAAGTTGTGAGAGCATCGTCCCCAAGTTCCAGACTTCGTCAATTGTTCCTCCCCTCCCCAACTTCCGGACTGGGCTGGGTTGTTCAAAGCTGGGTTAAGATAACCAAGGGTTAGTGTGAACTCTGATTTCAGACCTGAAAGCTTTAAAAGAAATTCAGTAAAATTCTTTTTGATAAGAATTTGATGATTGGATGCTCGAAATAGAATAGAGGAAATGATCCCAAAAAGGCTTTCGAACAAAGGAGTAAAGAAATCCAGATTAAAATTTAACCCTGTGTTAGCACTAATCCGCCTCCGAACAACTGGGCCCTGGTCTCTAAATCCCCTTGAGGAAACTCTTCTACAATCAGTGCTGAAGAGTTTTATTACAGTTTTTATTCAGTATAATGAAGGGCTGGAAAATAACCTTACTAGAGCTCCGCTTTTAGGCTTGGCTAAATCTATATTATATAGATAGATAGCAGTATTCAAGAAGTTTGTGGACTCCTCGACGTGTGCGTGACCAGCGGCGTTCACGACGAAAGGTAAACCTTAAAAGACTTTCAGCTGTTATTCACTTTTAAACCTAAAATATTTAGATTAGCAATGCACAAAAGTTTTTGTGTTCAATATTGTTGACTCACTGAGAAGTAGAGGCAAAGTGAGTAGATAAAATCATTGTCCTTGTTTGTTTGTTTTCTGCTTTGTCTTTTTCTTCATTTTCCGCCACTGTGACCCACATACTTCTCGTTATATTTGATTAAGAAAGACGTATTCAAAGATTTCTTTTTAACTTCAGCCGTGTGTAACACCAAAAGCAGCATATCAGAATGAAAAAGAAGAAACTTTTTTGATACGCGAAATGTGGTCGGAAGTCGGGAGATCTTTTTCTTAGCACTTTCTACGCATCTTTAGTGTGTGCCGTTTAGTTCAAGACACTATGGCAAAACAAAGGCTTCCCGCTTGATCGCCTGATGTAAAAGCGAACCAAAAGTGATTTAATTTTTGTTCTAGTCTTTGTTTGAGTTCTCCAGATTAAAAAATCACTTCATTTAGGCGCTTTTAGAAAGGATAAATGGCGGAACGATTGATTCTCCAATAGATGCAAATACCCGATTTTTAGCTCACCTGCAATTTCTATCGTCTTCAAACTAAACTTTTGAAGCAAAATTTCAAGTCAAAACGCTTTAGTAACAGCTTAATTTACCGTCTTAGCAGATTACTCTAAAGACCGAGTTCTCCGTTCTTCCATCCTCGTTCATCGTTTATCGTTTTTAGTAACATCCCTCCAGAACATCACATTCTGTTCCATTGTTTACGTTAGTATGCATGGTCATGCCGACATTGATTTATAAATGACATGTCAAGCATACACATAGCATGTGCTACACTGTTAAGAATGAGGATTCAAGAATGATTTTTCATGATTTGAAAAAAGAAAAATCACCAGCACCCTTTGAGTTTAGTGAAGAGCATGTACTCGACCTCTCAGTATCAATGAAATTAAGGGTTTGATCCTTTGAGCTTGGCGGGAGATCCAATAATTCAGTGCGACATCGTTTAGTCGCATCGCTTTTTATGTTGCGATTTTAGAACTAGCTGTCGTTTCAGCGAAAAATGTGGTGGAAGGAATAACCACCGTGTTTGACGAATGTATGGTATTGATGACCAACAGACTCGAGCCGCTGGTCGGAGAAAGCATCTCGCGGTGAAGGAAAATGAAAATTAAAGGAATATGTAGGAATATTGTATGTATAATGTCCAAGTAAACTTTCTGCACACTTGACTACGTAACACAAGTGAACCGCAGAGTCATTTAATAAAAGGCACTGCTGTAGACCTTTTGGGTTTGTAAAACTAATGATCAAAAACGAAATAATGATATTCTTCTCAGAAATCGTTGTAGATAATCGGCCACAATTTTATGACGTTCTTTCTCGATAGAAAGCAGAATGAATTGTAAAGCGAAATCAGAGTAGACCTCAAATCAGTTTGGACTAAAAGGCCGTTTGATAGTTTCTGTCTCTATGTAAAGCTGAATGCCAACCATTTGATAGCTGCAACGGTTACTAATTATTTTGTTAGTTGATTATGTCCTATCTATGTCGCAATCTAAGTGACTCAAGACTAGCAGCGTAAACCCCTATCAAAGTGCAAGAAAAGAGGATAGGGTTCTCGTTGTGATTGGATACTTTGTAAGAGAATATCAATTATTAACTACTGAACACAGCTGTTAAGGTATGATTTAACCGACAGAAAGAACACTTATGATACCCCCTCCTACAAACCCAACTACCTTATCAAACAATGTGTAATATTCTTACCAAGGAGCGACTCCTAAAAGCATTATAGTAATTATTCTTAGTAAACTTTCCTTATCCCACCACAGACTACAACTTAGCTCACCAAGGACACAATCTTTGCATCAGGGGTGGACTCGTGATGTCGTTTAGAATAGCAAATTTGACATAGTTCGACATTTGCAGAAATGTTAGGATAAAACTCATTTTCTTCTCAGCAAAAGCCTTCAAAAAAATTATATATAAAAATTTCGGTGAATTCATTTTGCAAAGCTACGACCCCCCCCCTTCCCCCTCCATTTCACCCCCTCTCCTCTGTATGCTGAAGTATCATTTTGCCCTCAGAAACAAAATAACGTTAGGGAATATTTCCAAACAGACGCTAAACTCTCCTTCATTTGAATGTTAAGACTATTCCTCAGGTATCCTCTACTCCAGACTAAAGGGGTTATTTTAATATTAGGTACTGTTTCTAGTGCAATTATTCATATCAGCAGGAAAGAAGGGTTTTGACCAAAAGGAAACCTAGTTTATAATTATTTAAGATTGATGGACTCTTAACTTAACCTCTACTGAGAGTGACAGGAGAACATGGTCTCTTGTATGTAAGTCTCCTGAAACACGTACAAGCGATTTTTTGCACTTCGGGAAGCTATGTTACTTTGGTTTGGTTTTGTCCTTCCTTCAAAGGAGAGATCTAGAGAGATGGGTCTAGATATAATAGATCAATGTCGTGGAGAGAAATGTGTGTGTGAAATGTGTCGCGTACAGCATCATCATGCAGACAGAGTCAACTCAGAACTTTTCAACACTTTTATTATGTAAAAAAAATTAAAGTTATTACATTAGCAACGTATCCAAGAAAAAAAGACTTCAACCCGTACCTACGACCAGTTTCGTTGAGTAATAGTATCTAGTACGCGAAAACTATCGGCCTATTAGGCCAAACAACAAACTTTCTTGCAGAAGTAATGTGCCAAGTATAATTTTGATTAGAATTCCGTATAAAAGTATTTCGAGTTGGTATCGCAAGTAAAGGCGGTCTTTGGGAAAGCAATTTATGCGCACAATTAGCTTTCCTAAATATAAGCGGGTTTTGCGGCAAAATTTTTTAGCAATTTATTAAAATTGTACACAACTATGGCTTTCAGAGCGAGATCTCATCATCACCTCAGAATTGAGCCAGAAAATAAATTGAACTCAAACGCTTGTGTCGAGGCATATATGTAAGTACTTAATATGTTAAAGAGAAAATGAGATTAAACTTTATCGGTAAACTTATAAAAGCGTTTCAGCTTTTAAGAATATGAAGTCAATTGAATTACAATGTTACAGCCTAACTGCTAGACGCAACATGCCTATTTCTACCAAGTAAGCGTGTAAGAAAACGATGATTAATCCCTGAAACTTGTCTAGGCGAAGTGTTCAAAATATTAGCAGGTCATACACCGTAGACGTCTATCTAACTACACCGTTAAATCCTCGACGTTTGCATACAATTGCTTGTCGTACATTTTCATGTCAATTAGCTTCTGCAGAGAAAAATAATATAATAATCAGCATCATTAAAAAAGTTTTAAGTGGTTATCTTCACAAGTGGTCAGGTTTTCACACCAAAACAAATTCAAGGAGGAAGTATTTTATGGCGTCGTCGTCTGCTACTCTCTGTGCGTCTCAATGCAGTTTTGCAATCATCCTATGATCTTTTAAATAACCATCAAGTGTTAATTATCATTGAGACATTCAATTGTCATTGAGACGCTATTAAGGCTCAATGCTGTTACTTTTATCTCTAATTAGCTGAGCCTAAGCCAGTCAGTCTTACTTGAAAAAAAAACTTTCATATTGATAAAAATTCTGACCTTGTGTAGGGTTTCCATGTCCTTAAGCTGATTTTTCAATTCAGTGAAAGTTGGTCTTGCGTCTGGGTCATTCTTCCAGCATTTCATCATGATCTGATACCTGGTATTATTCAAATAACCTGTTAAAGATTTAAAGAATGTTTCCTTGTACGACGAGGGAGAACAAGTAAATAAAGAAAACTTACAATTTTTCATCGACGTGTTGTGGTTTAGGCATCCTGTATCCATCCTGGAGTAAGTTTGCAATTTTTCTTCCATCCATTCGTGGGTAAGGTGAACCGCCTGGAAGAACCACAAGACCATCGAAATATAAATGTGACAAAAAACGACCTTCAACGAAACACCACCTTTGTCACTAGATGTAGTTTGAAGCTCATTACGTTTGTCTGACTGAACACGATACATTGTTTAATTAAACATGGTATAAAGCAAAAAACATCTACAGAGCTTTATAAAATTCCATTCGATGTTACCTATGGTGAAAATCTCGTATAACAGAACTCCATAACTCCATCTGCAGAAAGACAAATCAAACGAATATTAATTAAGTGACTATAGACATAAACAGTAAATACGACGAATAAAATAAATGTATTCTTTGACAAAGCATCACTAGAATTCAAGTCCTGATTAAAATTGATAAAATTTTTGATAAACTGCTACGGGTTATAATCAGGTATACTTACACGTCACTTTTGGTGGTATATTTACCATACAATAAGGCCTCATAAGCTGTCCACTTCACGGGAAGACGGCCCTAAAGATTTTAAATATCACTTTGTGAAACAGCTCGAGAATTATAGGAAGCGAGTAATCAAAAATAGTGATATTTAAAATTGTACTCGTAAACGCATGGTTGATAGTTTCATTAGGGTCCCAAGGAATTCATGATCGAAATCAGGAATATATCAGCTCAACCACAACAATGATTGTCAAAGATCACTAAACTGAACGAAATGTAATACCGCCCTCACCTCCCCTTTTTCTTGATTACCTTTGTCTTTCGTTCATAAATATTTTCCTGCTGCACATCTCTGGCCATTCCGAAGTCTGTCACCTTACACGTTTCCTTTTGTCCAACCAACACATTACGGGCCGCAAGGTCTCGGTGAATGATCTAAGAAAGAATTGATGTAACAGCAAAAATTAGCGATTGTAGAAGAAAAAGAACTGAAATGAAATGGTTCAGAGAGGAAAATAGAAATATCTAGCAACATAATATGGTGTGTGTATTTCTTTTTCTTCCAGATGGCAGAAAGTTAAAACTACTACAATAACTGCTCCATATTCCAAAGAGAAGCAAACTACTCTATTTCTGCAATACGTAGTCATTTCAAAGAACGCTTACCTTTTTAATTTTAATCGAAATAAGATTCTGTAATAAAGCAGTTTAGCAACCAAAGACGATTTTTTTAAGTTGAAGTTTTAATTCCTTTTCTTCCTTGTCACTAAAATGGATATTTGTTGTACACTCAGTTTAAGCTGAATATCTTAAAAGATCCTATTCCTTCACGTCTCTGCCTTTGCTCACACGAGAAAAACCCAGATATTTTATTTCGATGGGGTACACTTGCAACGATGCACAAATATCGCCATTCTCGCATTGAAATAAAACTTGTATGATGACGTCAAAATCGGGAGGGTTCCTGGCCCTAAAGAAATAGCCTCAACAAGACGGTAAGAATACGTCTGCATCTCCCGGGCGTGATCTTGTGAAGACATAATATTCCATGCCAGAGCTTAACATGACGATAGACCTTACGAGAAGGTTTTAGAATTGTTTGTCTTTTGTGTTTTTAACTAACTTACAGATTTTGCGGACAAGTAACTCATTCCATCAGCAATTTGCCAAGCAAACTTCATCAGTTGCTGTGACGTCAGATTTGTTTGTGGTTTGATATCCGGGTCTTTGTAGTAAGTGTCTTTTAATCCACGGCTCTTTCTCAGGTAACCCAGCAGATCCCCAAAAGGCACATATTCAATCAAAACCAAAAGCTGTTCTGAAGAAATTAAACAATTTAATTGATATGTTACTCTCTTTAAAAAAAAAGCAATAATTGAAATAGATGAATAGCCCACTCATGGTCAACACTTTTGAAGAAATCGGATGAAAACAAGAAAAACTATGCGCCGGTCTCATAAGAAAGTACAGACCAATTATTCCCTAACAAAAAGCGTTTCTGCTTCTACAATAGAATGATCTGTTCAGTGGCAAATATTCGGTCTTAGTCTATCAGTAAATCCAGGAACGTCTGTGTTGGCTAAAATAAGATAAAATTACCTTATGCGATGGTTGTTTGTTTTGCTCAATTGTGAAGCGGTCACCCTTCCACTGAGGCAAATTATCAATGACGAGAAAGCGTTACAGAGTAAATCATAAGAAAAATGTGTACAGCAAAATTAGACCCACATAACTAAAGCATACCAGATTCAGTAACACATCCCAAAAGTTTAATGACGTAAGGATGTGGTTTTAGCTGCTTCATTGTGTCAAGTTCTTTCATCAGATCTCTCTTGTCCGATTCAGAAGCGTTTGCTGGAGCATTAAAAACAAGGAGTAAAATTTAGTTAACAGGAATAATATGCGAAATGTCGAAATAACAACATAACTTATGAAATGGCAAATAGGTACATAATTACAGTAACCCGGTAACATTTCCTGAATGTCTCTGGGCCAAGACTCATTCAATTTACAGTACAAGAGCTCACTTTTAAGCATCTTAATAGCCACTGTGTTCGTTTCAGGACTCCCTCGAAGTCCTACTGCTGTTCCCTTGGCAACCTGACCAAAAGCACCTTTACCAATGATTTTTTCTATGGTCACGTGATGTCTTGGAACTTCCCAGCAGCGTGTTAATGGATGAAGGGGCATGTAATCAGCACCTGGAGCTGTTCTTTGTGCTTTTCTATTATCTTTGTTGACTTCTATGAGATCCATGTATTCCGCATGAGGCTGGGTGAGTTTTCTTGATTCAGGTAGACTTGGTTCGATATCTTCTAATAATGTTTCATTCTATTAAACCAACACACTGTTAAGGTATTCATATTCAAAGCTGTTATTAATCCCAGTTAAAAGTACCACATGGTTATAAAAATCAGTTCACCATTTTTATCAGAAAAATGTTTATATTCTTCCATGATAAGAGATTATAAATAGTTTATAACCTCTTGTCCTTATTATTACTAACATTTTGTTCTCTGCTTTTGAAACTATCATGTCCAATGGAGTGATCGAGGCTTATACCATATTCGTCGAAGCTACAAACTGCAACGTGAAGATTGTCGATTGGTAGTCCCATATTTTGACAAATAAACGCACGAAACAACTCTTGCAGTACAAAGTTCCTAAACTCACGTTTAGAAAATAAGGCATCAAGAAAATAAGCCGGCTAAAAATTCGTAAAAACAATCATTTGGAAAGCAAATATCAACCGAGTGCAGACAAGTAAGCGATCTATGAAGTGAAGCCAGGCAGTTGAATCAGGGACAATCGAAGGAAAATCCATGGAGTGGCTTGGTAAAGGACATGATCCCAGGACAAAGACCTTTTCGCGCCTAACTTCCTCTTTTATTTCATTGTATCTGGCACTGATGCCATATGCTTTTTTTTACATATAGAACTACACATTTTTTCCTTCTTATTTGCTGCAAGCGTTTATTTTCTCATAGAAAGTAGAGGTAAAGTAAGATTACATAATTTCTGGCCACACTAACATGACCTCAATGTCTTAGCTGTAACTTACGTCGCAAACACGTCTTTCATCTTCATAAGTCCTACAATTGAGAAAGCATAGAAATAATTATAAAACACTAAGAATGAAACCATATAGGGCACATTACACCGACACAATCCAACTTGCAGAAAATTCTTACCTCTGTTTCTCTACAGTGCCTGAAAAAGAACGAAAGGAAAAAAAAGACAAATGATGTAAATGTGGGTTAAAATTTTTGTTTAAAAACGAATCTTCCAGCCAAACCCTCTAACACAGATAATGATTTTTTTACTTACCTTTTTTATGTAGCCAGATAATGTAAATAATTTGAAGAAAGATTGTGAAGGCAAGAACCCCAATTATGGCTAACAAGACGTTGTTAGATGGGCAGTTACATTCCTCAGGACCTAAAATGAGTCATTTTACAAAGCTTGATGAAATAACATTCAAACAACATTTACACTGATCCTGGTCGATATACTGCTCTCACTACATAGCTTAGGTTCATGACCGAAAAATGTTAACTCTGATTGGCTTGGTACAAAGAAAGAGTAAGGTGCTACTCTCTCTATAATAATTTTTAAAAATAAGATTTTGTTTAATTAAATAAAACAACAACAACGACAAAGACAAAAACCTGGAAATGTATCAGTCACAGAATAAGTTGTTTAATTAAACAGATACGGAATACAATTATAAAGAGTCCATCTTCGGAAGAATACATGTAAACATTTAACAATTTGTTTGTAAAATTTACCTTTTGTTGTGCTTTCCGAGTCATCTGTGGGTATTAAAACTTGTTTAATTGAGTCTGGATTAACTTTAAAACCTCCGAATCTGTCTTGCCTCGCAGCATGCGACAGGACAATCAAAACATTGCTGACGACTACACTTTGATTGAACCTCATCATAAAGTCAAGAACAACACTGCCACACCTAGATTAGGGGGGGGGGGGAGAGAAAAAAGAGTATCATCACACATATTTGTACTTTGGTGACATCTAAGTGTTAAAATATATTGAGATTTAACCAATGTAATAAACCAAGGTACATAAAATTAATTCATGTCATTCTGTGCCAATATATTACTGTACATTAAAGAAAATGTACTTCAAATGTAAATTATCTTGCATTAAATAGGATTTGCTGGAGCAGAAAAACTAGTTTTACCGCTAAAATACAACACATCCCTCCTGGAACGCAAATCTGCGTTTGCGTTTGTTGTTTCAACGTAAAACAACAAACTGTACCTTACCTGGTGTTCACAGTGTTGGCGGATGAGCAGCCAAACCTAAAGGCAATTTGACAAGCCTAAAAGGACATATTAAGAAAAAAACGTATTTTCAAATGCTTGTCACATATTGAAGATCGTTCAAAATAACATTTTTTAAACAGAAATATTAAGATTTCATTCAAGAAAAGATTGATTAAGATTCACTCTTCAAGATAAATCTCATAGCAGTATTCCATACACTCCAGTATATGGATCAAGTAGATTATCTAACCGTTTCTGGAAATTTCGCGGCCACTTCAGAACGTCTGCTACAGTTCTCCTGTATTGTCGCTGTCAGGTAAACTTCTGTGCCTACTGTTTGAACTGGGGAAAAAAAAAATACGAGTTAAAATGAACGTTTGTTTGTTTCCACGAGAATTATCATTTGAACTCGTACGAATGAAAGGCCAATTTGAGAGATATTGTTTTTCTTGTATCTTGCGTCACGATGGTGTCTTCAGAATCGTTCCCTAAGTCGTCTTCCTTTTTCGCCGAAGTACAAATTTTTGAAATAACCGCAAGTTATGAAATAGATGACATTGATGGTGGCAGTCTCAACATTATTTATGAAAGGAAACGTTTTGTGTCATGCACGCGCGGTTAAAGCCTCGGGTTGATCATTCATTTAGAAAGTAATTCTGACCAATAGGCAATAGGCCACTTCTGAGTTCTCGCGGTTCAGTAATCTGTTGTCGAAATTACGGCGCGTAGAGGGGGGTAAATGCGAAGTCGCTCTCATTGGTATGAAGAATGGAGTGCAGTGGTGGTGAAATGAGAGAAAAGTTCTCAGAATTCAGTGTGGGAGAGTAAACATATTTTTGTGGGAGAGAGGCATCAACTAAGTGATGGCGGCAAAGGAAAGAAAAAAGCAGTTAATTTAAGTATGAGAAGATACATCTAAAAAGTTGCAGGGTTCTCTTTCCAGGTTCAGGTGAGCATGTGTCGGTACAGTAGTTAAAATATCTGTGTGTGCCAGCCAATGATTGAAATCTCAGTTACTAGATATGCCATATTTTTGCAATTGCCACACATAAATCCACTGCGACGTAAGTCAAATTTTTCATATTGATTCAGGTTTTTTGCAAGCGAAGAATTCACCCGTAAAAACCTCGATGTTCGTGAGAGAGAGTGCTTGAAAACTAAGTAAAGAAAAGGATAAACCGTTGAAAGGGGAAAATAAGATTCATTTGAACATACTTTCTTCTGCCTTGACTTGCTGGATATTTGCTTTCTCTTGTTTCAGGCTTTCACCAAGCTCATTAGTTGCAGTAATGGCAAACTGATACACCTTTCCTCTCTCCAACACTATTTTCAATTCTCTCATAGAAACATCTCTAATTTTCTTTATTTCTGTCCACTGTCCAACTTTCCCATCAGTCACTTCTCTTTGGTACACTGTATACATGGTGATAACTTTTCCATTACTTTCTGGCTCCTTCCACTTTAGGGTAATTGTATTGTCTGTTGTTTCACCTGGCAGGTCGTCGATTTTGACCACATCTGGGGCTCCTAGATTGATGTCAACAACACGAACAGCGTGAAATTTCTAATAATTATACAACTTCTTGATAGTAACCTGGTCACAACTATTATCAGTGATTAGATAATCTGTAAATTGGTCGAGGATTTTTTGGGATATTTTGACATCGCGCATGACTTAGTAAAGGCACTTGGCCATGACACAGTGGAAAAATGAGTACGCATGCTCCGCTTCTCGAGCCATTTGAGCGTATAGGGCTACGATTTTCTTCTGCAAGCATAACCTGACGCGGGTTTTTCCGCCGATAAAACAAACTTTTCTCTCCAGGGGGTTTGCCAACTGAGGAAGCATGACAAGAAGCGCAAAAGCGATAACAGGTGCTACGAACTTCATAGCCATGTTCAACTTCTCAACTTCAGTTACTAAATTCACACCTGTTGCCACAATACTTTTTTTGATGAGTGAGATGTGCCGGATGAATTTCGACAGAAACTTTCTTGAAAACGGCAACCTTATTTTTTTTGGTTTGGGCCTATCCCAGCGAAATAAAAAGAACTGAAAATCCCAGCGCAAAACAAGTGATGAGAATTTTAAAAATTCCGCCATTTTGCCTCAATAGACAATATATACTTAGAAGTATAATTTTACTGACGGTATCACCAACTGGAATTGGCTCTAAAACTGCTCGTTTGTAAGTCTGTGATATAGTTTTTAAACTAACCAAACTTAGCTTTAACACAAGAAGTACTACATGTAAAAAACAACAGAAGGTCTTGCGCAGTAAGTGTGCCGAAGTGCGCACAGAATGTCAGTAAATTAGTAGCAAACTCTGATAGCTATGGGACCTGTGGAGGTTTGATTCTTTTTAAGTGCTCTGAATATAGCTGGTAGGTATTTAAGAAAACGATATCCATCCACCTTAATTATAAGCAAGAGGTTTAATTTTGTAGTTTAGCTTTTTAAATACCTATCTCAGACTTTCTTCGTATGGCGTTATTTTCCCTATTTTATCAGGTTACAGCTTATAGCTTGACTTCTTTCACTCATACTCTGTTGTTTTGCACTCGTACTTTTCTTATCTTAAAGAAAATATATGGAGGATTCTTCAAGGCCGTCCGAAAGCTGTTTGACGAGATTTCCCCATAATATTGGCATATTAAAAGCGATTTTCATGAAAAATAATATTTTGTTTTGTTTCGAAGTTGATGGTGATATTTTTTCGTCTTGTAGAGACAGAAGAACTAACGGAAACACAAAGTGATACAGGCCGCAGCCAGAATTTAGTTCTGACCGTCACTGAGGACGAGACAACACTGACTTCCAAAAATGCAGGTAAATGAGCTATTGCCAGCTTAACTCATCATAATAAGTTCAGTGAATGTCCAATAGCAATTCAGAATTGGGGAAAAAATAGATCCCGAATTTCTCTGAGTAAAAGTACTCTTAGAACATTTATTTACGATCTTGCCTTTTCTTTGGATTTGTCTATAGAATTACCGAAAATGTTGTAACTTTGATTCATGAAAACATTTATCCATGACCAGAGGATCGACACAATCGTATTACGCACGTGTTTCATGGTTAAATACACTCTTAGTTTATAGAATGTTCTAGGAATTGCGTTCGCTGTTATTAGTCAGTTTGCCTTTAGGTTCATGCTTGCGTCACGCGCGTGCTTTATGGAGCCTCAGTTCACACGTTTGCACGCACGCAATTTTGGCAGCATTTGATAAAAAAAAATAAACTTGCTACTTTTGCATTGTTGACTTAGATAAGCACATGGGAACTTTTAGGGTACTTGAGACGTGCCACTGCGGGAACTCGGCCATGATTCAGTTCTCTCGCGTTCTTAAAAACACTTGCGTGCTTATATGCTAATCAACAACGCTCTCCGGCGGCGCGCGTTTTCTTCCCTGCGAAAAAAACAAAACAAAACAGAACAAGTAACCTGGGCGCAAATAAAAGAGGCTTCCATTTGATCTGGCGTTTAAATTTTTGAAATATTTTCATAAGAACAGCATGTGCCATGATGATCCTTCCCCGTGAGGTACTTTTGGAAATTTCCAAGTGGCTTTCCCTGGAAGAACGCATGACGCGCCTTGCACCAGTGTGCAAATATCTTTACAACGTTATGCACGATCCTAGTGTTTGGCGAACTGTTTATTCGGATGCTGAATTTACCATTTCCTCGTTTAATTGTCAATTCAGACATGATAAAGATTTACGGCACGTAGGCTTAAGTCATTCCTAAAGGTTACTAACGTTTATTTCTGATGAGTTTTTGATAGAAAATACTTAACTGAATTGTACCAATTTGATATCTTGGGATCTTGAACACAATACTTCGATTTTTTCGCTTCACTTTGTGCAACGCATGTCAAGTTTAAAGTATCTTGATAAAACAAATTGCCAAAATACAACTATAGAAAGTCTTGTACGTTCTCTTTACAAGAAAAAAACAATAGAAATATTACACATGACAAATTGTTTTCAAGTAAGTGGAAACGCCTTGGTTACTGCGGCTAAATCTCTTCCAAGCGTTAGAATTTTTGAGGCAGGTGGCTGTGAAAGATCAAGCCCAAGAAATTTTGGAAACTTATACACTCTCGCAATTTTCTTTTTCTCCTGAAAGACCTTCGGCTATGTGGGAACGATTTCTAGCGGATTATAAATACATCCAGTTTGATGGTATTATTAAAGTACATAGAAACTAATAACGAACATGGTAGCGTTCTAATTAATTGAAGTACTGAATGTTAATTTGACGTGAAAAGGAGTTAAATTTACAATGAAATGTTAAAACAATGGCAATCTGCTTTTATTTCAGTGTTAAGGAACAATAAAGATGGAGATAGTTCTCGCCATGGCTCGGTTCATGACGTTGGTGTTGGAGCTCTCACCCGTTAAGAAACGGATTTTAAATCTCTAAATCAAGCTGAGAAGCTTAACATTATTGATAACCATTTCCGACCAGCCGAGGATTATGTTTTCCCTAAATTGTCCACGAATGGTTGTAACTGATCATTCCAACGATCGTAGCAGCAATGTTATCATTGGCTTGTTTACAGTAAAGAATGTAAATGCGGTTTCTGTTTCCCATGCATTTTGTTTGCCAAACGCGAGAACCTAGGTACCCTGGTTAAGGCCCCGTTTAATCAGTGGAAAAAGGTAACCAAAGTGTGTGGTGAACACGAGAAACAATACTACCACGTTGATGCTATGGTTGCTTACGACAGTTTCCTTGCAACTAGTCGACGCCCAGAAAAAAATATCCTAGACCAAATTGAAAGAGAACGTAGCAACACAATTAAGAGAAACAGAGCAATTATGAAAAGCGTTCCAAAGTGCGTCCACCTTTGTGGACGCCAATGCATTGCTTTAAGAGGTCATATAGGTGATACCACTGGTAGTGAAGACGTAGATAGGGGTAATTTCCTTGCCTTGCTGGAATTTCGAGTTGATGCTGGCGACGAAATATTGAAGAATCATCTTGCAACATGCCGCGCGACTGCCAGATATTCCAGCAAAACTATTCAAAATCAGATCATAGCACTAATCGGGGACCACATAAAGGATTCCATTATTCGTGAAATCAAAGAAGTAAAGTACTTTTCAATTCTGTGCGACGAAATGATTGACAACTCCAACCTTGAGCAGCTGTCATTTTTCTTAAGGTTCGTTAACAGACTCTAAGATTCGTGAAGAGTTTTTAGACTTCCAGTCTACGGAAAGAATAACTGGAGATGTGATCTCGCAATTGATCCTAGGGAAACTCCAGCAGTAGGGCCTGGATATTTCCCTCTACCAAGGTCAAGATTACGACAGTTCTTCAAACATGTCCTCCCAAGCTAGAGGTGTACAAGGCTTAATTTCCAGGAAAACCCCACAGCCTTGTGCGTACACTGCGATTTGTATGTCCTTAATCTCGTTATCGTAAAGGCATTGCCATTAGTTCGAAAAAGTGATAAGCCTGGATCAGCCAGAGTCTCAAGGAACCAAGATTTGCGACCTTTGCCGTGATCGTTGGGTGGAGCATTACGAAGCGCATGACACTTTTGTCCAGTTACTTCTATCAGTTGTTAAAACGTTTGTGGTCATTTTAGATGAACAGCAACATCAAAAATACAGCACTGATACCCCTTGGAACTGGGACAAAGAAACCCTCCAAAGAGCAAACGGCTGCTACCATACCTTTTGTTTTCTCCAGTTCCTCATGTCCTTGACGGTCACGATGAATATTCTCGCAGTCATAAAGCCGATTAGCGTAAAGCTACAAAAAAAGTCTAATGACAATGTTAAAGCCTACAATATGATTTCGGAGAAGGAGTTGAAAGAATTGCGAGACAAGAATGATGTCTTCAAAAGATGGTACGCATATGCTGTGGAGATCAATTCAGAGCTGGGAACAGAACCAAGCGCTCTAAGAACGGTGTCAAGACAGCAGCATAGGGCAAATGCACCCCATGACACAGCTGAGGAATATTACCGCCACAATCTGTTCATTCCATTCCTTAACCATATCACACAAGAAATGCTTCAAGGTAATCCATATAAATTATCAAACTTTCGGCTGTTTACTTAACCTTTACTATTTAGAGAAATAATACATGATTGAATAAAGGAATTTTTTTTTCAGATTTGGGTCCACTCAGAAGACTGCCGTGCAATTGCTTCGTCTTGCACCAAGTGCCACTGTAGCGGGCACAAATGTAGACATGGCTGAAGTCTCCGAGATGTATTTGTCAGATCTCCCAAGCCCACAACCTCTCGATATTGAATATGTTCATTGGATGAGAAAATGCCAATCTGAGACGGACAAACCAGACGCGCTTCAACCTGCCTTATAGGTTCGAAGTAACTCAATTCGTTTTTGTTAAAATTTCCCTTAGGTTAAAAAATGACAGGTTTATTGATTGCAGTTTCAGTCTATCTACAGGCTTGTGATGCCGACATCTTTCCAAACAATCACCTGTTTTTGCGAATAGTATGTACAATTCTAGTAACATCAGCTGATAACAAGCGCTCAAACAGCACTTTAAAACTAGTCAAGGGCTACCTACGGACCACGATGACAACCGAGAGACTTTCTGGCCTGGCTTTAATGAGTGTTCATTATGAAAAGCCTGTCAATTACGATGCTATAGTTCAGAAATTTGCTGAACAACAACCTCGTAGAATGTTACACGTTGATCCCATTTTTAGGGAATCCTAAGCGTGACTCTTTAGAACACATTAAATAGCGAAGAAATATATATTACAGTGATTTTAGTTTCATTTTCTAAGGGTTAGTTGACTTAAACGTAGTTCTTGTTTAATAAAATAGCTTTGATAAGAGATGGTTTGTTAAGGTATTAAACCGTCCACCATCATCCCTCAAAACGCTGGACTCACTCACACCCTCGTCTTGCCGCGCGTTTGATTGAAAACGAGAATAACTTAAAATAGATGTTCTCTCAAAAACTAGAGATAATTTCCTCGATCAGTACATCTGGTGTCATCAACATCCTCTTCTTAGGCAGACTTGTTGTTTCCAGAAAGTAAGCGCCTCATTAGAAAACAGCTGTGCGCCAGCGCCTGCTCCCTGCGAAAATTTGGAGAAGCTGTTGACAGCTCCTTACTTTTAACAAAGATTGTTAAAATCCTGTTAAAATCCGCTGTAAAACTCTGATAGTTTTTCATGAGAGAGACTTACTTTTAAGCAGGACCTGCTTTTTTTTGCCAAAGATAAATAAAAAAACTCGTTCCTTCTTCATTGTGAGACTTGTGAGAGAAAAAATATCACACCCTCATCTTGCCACGCGTTTGATTGAAAACGAAAATAACTCAAATACATGCTCTCGCAAAAACTAGAAATCATTGCTTTGATCAGTATATCTTGTATCATCAACATAGTTACACGAATTCGGCGCTTTTGCAAAGAAGGATCCTCGTGTTAGGTAAACATGTTGGTTCTAAAAATGATGAGCGCCTCGTTTGAAAACAGCTGTGCGCCAGAAACAAGGTCTTTAATCGCCTCGAGGCTCTCCAGAAAACCGTTACTTTCAATTGTATTTAACATCAGTAGTAAGACCAAAAAATATATTTGTACGTTGACAAAACTGACTGGTAAAAACCAGGCGACTTGACTTACATATAGAGGTGGTTTAAATGAGTCACTGCAATACGGATAAATTTAATTATTTTTTAATTTGCGAACCTTTGGCTCGATGCGCTAAACGAGGGTCAAGTCTACCCCTGGGTACACCGATAGAGATTGATTTTACTTGTGCACATTTACACTACCCACTCCCCCAGTGCAGCAAAATTGTCACTCCAATAATTTTCTCGATCAGTTACGAGCTTTTTCGCCTCCCTTCGGCTAAAGTCCCTCAGGACTACAAATTACTCAGGACTTTTGTTTGGAAAAGTTGACCTGGAACAATGGGCCATTTCTTGATACGGAAATCGCATTTCCGAGGACTTAAATTTCAAAATTTCCCGGGGGAGCATGCCCCCGGAGCCCCCAGATGGGTCTGCCTTCGGCGACCCGTTTGTTTGAACTCCCCTTTTCGAAATCCTGGATCCACCCCAGTGCTGCAAAATGGATAGTTGGTTATTGGGTGTGCTGAATATAGCCGGTAAGCGTTCAGGAAAACTGTATCTAACTAACGTAAAGATCACTATCTAGCGGTTTTAGTTGTTATTGGTTTATGTCAAAAGATTATGAGACGTAAACATAAAAAAACACCACGAGTCAAACAATTCTTGATAAAATAGGTAGCATTTACAAAACGTAACCGCGTAGGTTGTCTCTTGTTCTCACCTACGTTTACCTGTGGTTTAGTATTATGCTTCTTCATAAGTAGGTACCCCTCAAATAACTATTAGAGAGGGAGAAGAAACTGGCCATTATGGGGGTACAAACACTTAAAACCAAAAATCTTATAATGCGGCGAGCAGATAAGATGGTTAAAACTGGGACCACTCACAAAAAATCTAAGTTGGCAACAAAACGGTTGGTGCTAAGTGCTCAGTCACGATATCACTTCTGGATTCCTCACCTTCAAACTTGGTCCTAATTGTCCTTACTGTAGGGTCTCCCTCGAGTACGAAATTTCTGGAAAACAGTTTCATTGTGTAGTTGGTATTTTTCTCCAAACCACGAAACGAATAAGATGTCGTCCCAGGATTGGTGATATCATCCTTTTCTACCTCAGTTTCACCCTTTTGTAAGATCAGTCGGTATCCTGTGATCGGACTTCCTCCATCATCAGTTGGTGCAGTCCATCGTATTGTTATAGAACTTGCTTGAATGACTGATTCTGATGGTTTGATGGATGCTTTCCCTGGTTTCTCTAAATAGTGCCATAAAAAAGCGGTCATTTTGAGCAAAAGGAAAAAAAAAATCGAAGGATAATTTTTACCATTTTATTTAAGATAATTACCCCACAGCGAGTTTTGTTACAATACTTAGGACGAATGCAAGTCCTTGTATTAATAAAGTTTAATGAATAACATGTAGCTACTGGATAAATTCAGCCACGAACCTAAGAAAACGAGGAAAAATTAAGATTCTATGGTTGAGGAAGTTTCCTATGGTTAGTCGCAATGGAGAATGTCGATCTTCCTGAAGTTCAACGCTCTTTTTTCACGTGTTTAATGCTACCAGGGGGCAGGGTGTCGTCCATGTTCTGTAAATCGTTTTTACAAATATGGATACATTTTCCACTAAAAGATCAGGCTAACTATATCCGGCATAATTCCAGTATTACGCTGTTATAACTCATTGGCGTAACGAACGTGAAAAATATGTGAAGGTCTAATGCTGCTAAAGAGGGGAAAAATGTGAATGTAACGCTCAGATAGGGCCGTAGGATATATGTTGAAAAATAAGCGGACAAATTGTTAGAGAATGAAAGAATAGTAGAATGATAATGGGCCTTGCAAAATATCCGCACGTATTATATGTTAAAATAATATATTGATTTAGCTAAGCCTAAAAGCGGAGCTCGCATTTTTCCCCCGCACATCGCAAGGGCACAACGCCTTGCCCCGGCCAGGACTAGAACTCGGGTCGTCCGACTCGGAGCCCATTGCACTGACCACTGGACTACTGGACAAAGCCGTGGCGTTGGCGCGCCCGCGGTACAGTTGACCACGCATGTTAAAAGTAGCACCTTGTACGGTCGTACGGTTGTACATCCAAATTTTTTCGGCTTGATGGGTTATTACTATTTTGTATAATTATGGGGCTACGCTCTGCGAGCTCCGCTACCAAATGAGGTGTACATAGTGAATAAGTTACTCGGTCGAGTGCTTTGTAAGAAAATCTGGGTTTTACTTCTAATACACCTGAAACAGTGATAATGAGCCAAGGCAAAAGAAAATGCTGACCTGATGTATAGTTTTCTTCTTATCAAAATACACTGATCTTTTTTACTTACCTATCGGATTTATCTTTATTAATTTCTCATCAGATGGAATAAGTCCATTGGCAGCAATGCACTTGTAATGACCAAAATCTTGATCACCCCTGAGTGGCACTTGTACTTTGATTTCTCTGGCTCTGACTCTGTTTATTTCACTTCCTTCGGGTTTGTACCAAGAGAGTGTTGGTGTAGGAACACCATCAGAAAGACACTTCAAAGTCAGTGTCTGGCCAATCCAAGACTTCTTTGATGACGTGGTGACATTTTGAATTGTGGGCGGGTCTTAGAATAAATACCAATGCAATAAGCAATTAAATCAATAAGTGGTGGTGCTTCATGTCAATCAGAACTTTAATGAACTTTATCACTCCACTATTATATCATTCGTGATTAAAGCGAGATATAAAGTACTCCTCGACCAATCAGAGTGCATGCATGTATATAATCACCCAAGCAATTATACTAAAAAATATATATATAAATAGCCAGGAGGGTTACAAGTTTCTCCTCTTTTAAGAGATAAGAAGTGTTTAGGATGGTATTAAAAGAGGAAAAAGAATGAATTGTTTTTATACCAGATGGTAACAAGTTCCACAGTTCAGCATTTCTAAGAAATATGATTTCCTATAATAATCCTGATTATGTCCGTAGATTAAGGGCCTGTTTACATGGAGGTGGGAGACCCCAGGTAGGTGAGGAAACCCGCCAAGGTGGGGTAACCCGTCTGTCCATATAATTTCTTATTTTATTTTCATCACGTTTACATGATGGGTGGGGTGACCCGCCTAAGCGAGTTGCCCGGTCTGCCAGGTAGGGTAACCCCGTCAGCCGGGGTGACAATTTGCCACGTAAACGTGTCAAGGTGGGGTAACCCGCCTGGCCGGGGTCGCGTTCAAAGCAAAAAGCTCAAAAGCGAAACATGTATGTTTTAGAACTTTGTACATTTCCTAGCCGTCTCATGACAGAAATCACCAGAAACCGCAACGGGCACACAAGGAGTGTAAAATGTTCACATTTCGGAATATTTAACGTTGTAAATCGACCATATTTGGTTTCCCAAACTATTCCGTTTAACGTAATAAGTCAATGGTTCTTCGCGAAACCAAACACCGCGTAACACAACGCATGACGCTCTCGTGAATAAACACATATATGTCTGAGAATTGATCTTTCGTCTTTCTCGAGATATGAGCTTGGGACGCCTCTGCTCAAACTCCTTAATTGCAAGCACAACAAAAACCTCACGAAACCTCACCCCAGCACCCCGGGGTTGTAAGATTGCATGTAAACGCGTTTTATTTTTCGACCACGGCTAGGCGGGTTACCTCACCTACCTGGGGTCCTCCATGTAAACAGGCCCTAAGTTATCATTATTAATGTCGAATTTACGTGTACGATGACATGGTTCAAAGTAAGCAAGTAGATGTATTCCCATACATCAATAGATGTAGGACCATTTCTGGACTTGAAAAATAGAAGCAGGTCTGATATCTCTCTACAATAATCAAGAGGCGGTAAAGGAAATCACCGTTTAAACTCAATTTCTCTTGTAAAGAGGCAGATATTGAATATGGCATGTTAAAAAGGTTGTCACAGAATGTCGGCAAAAATAGATTTGTACTTGCACAAAGTGCAACCCTAATGCCAAAATGTGATCGGTGAGAGCAACAAACTCAAGTGGTGCGATCTTGTTGCGATTGGATTGGGCGAAATGACATTTCTAGACATTTAAGTCATTTTGTTTGTTGGTTTTTTTTCTTTACAGGAAATGTCTTACATATGTGGTATACTCCATGAAAGTATGTTCGGTGTAATTTTGATGAGTGACTTCAAAATCTAGAAATCAGTATACCATTCATGCTTGGTTTTTACCTGCTCCTGACAACAAAGGTCGAATGCCTTCGCATACGCAAACACCGAAACAATCAAGTATCTCAAAGAGCGGGGCGGCATAGTGATTGCAGGTTACACAACCTCCCAAACCTGAAAGTCATGGAAATCAATTACCTTGCAAAACATTTTTGTTTCCTTTCCATGTCTTTTGATAAAAAAAAAGAGTGAAGGTTGTAATCACTCCACAGTACTGTCCGTCACTTTCGTGTTATTTGGCAGTCGAGTATTCAGTATAAGGTTTAAGAATAATGAAATATAAAATGGATTCTCGCCCTCAAAAAGTATATCTCATCGAACACCACACATGCAAATATGCGCAAATCTTAAGAAAACAGTTCAAGTTTCAGCCCATTTTCACATCTACCAGCTGATTTTGACCAATTCTCAGATTTCCATTTAGCCCCGACCAGAGCCCTCACACAGAATCAGAATATGCAGTAGCCTTGTGCGCTAGTCAAACGGAGCGAACTTTGGGTTGTCACAATGACACGCAAATGGCTTTAAGTCATATTCTGAGTTAAACACAGTGCAACTGAAGCAATGACTTGATAAAAAAATTGTCACGTTCTCCTGAGGAAAATAATGATAGAAACAATTCCATCTAAATTCAATTTTCCCAACCAATACTCGAGACTGATGCATACAAAGCCCAAAAAGATTTGAGGTGGAATCCTGTTTCCTTACTCTCCTAAAAAGATTCATCAGTTTTGTGTAACTAACCTCAATGACAGGAGTCGCACTGTTAATAAAGTAAATTCAGAAATAGAAAATTAAGGTTAAAATAGACTTACAGTGAACTACGATTGTTGTGTCAACAGAAGTGACTTCCACTGAGTTATTGGCTCGACATGTATATTGTCCCGCATCTGTTCTGTTTATATTATCGAACTTTAAAAACGCAGCTTTCTTCCCTGAACTTTCCAGTACTCCATTCCTAATCCACGCTACATCCGGCAGTGGTTTCCCAGAAGCTTCACAGGCTATGGTGACAGGGGTTCCTTCAATGTAATATTTCCCTCCTAACGAGAGGTTTATAAGTGGTGCCTCTGAAAGATAAAGAGTTTATATCACTCCTCATAGGGCGCAGCAAATCTTACTTAGACTGAGTATTAAAATTTACCCAATTACAATAAAATAAACAAAAGTATCCACCAAATGGTCCCCAACAACCAACTAGTATAAGGAAGCTCAAACTTCATTCAGTACAATTTAGCTTTTTCACAAGCTAAATTATAAAGCAGAGCTCCAGCCACTAGTATAAGGAAGCTCAAACTTCATTCAGTACAATTTAGCTTTTTCACAAGCTAAATTATAAAGTAGAGCTCCAGCCACTAGTATAAGGAAGCTCAAACTTCATTCAGTACAATTTAGCTTTTTCACAAGCTAAATTATAAAGCAGAGCTCCAGCCACGGGAATTAAGAGCTAATTTAGGAAGTTACTTATTGGGCTGAGGATCCTGGCTTCTAAGCTACTAACACTTTTTTGGATAAGATTTTTGCTGTTGCACAAAAAAATAGGAACAGAGCTAATCAAGCCACGCCTCACTTGAAACTTGGCTTGACAAAAGATCTACTGGAGACATCCTCAAACCAGAGAACTGGGATTTAAATGAAAGAGACACTATGGATTTTTTCCAGATGAAAAGAATACACCAGTAGCATGCTGAATGCTGCTTGCCCATTACTTAAAGAGAAGAACTTACCCACATCCTTGTATCATTCTTTTGTCAAACATTAAGTAATTTGATTGTTCATCATGATTGTTCTGCAAAGGGAGTTTGCAGAAGCGAGAGTTTCGGACTTTTCCTCCACATTTTGAAGAATTATACTCGCAAATAAAACGTTCTTAAGCCCAAGCCAAGTGCAAAGAAAGCGAATGAATTTCCTGCATTAAGAATGGACTGTATGGAGACCACTGTTAATAATTTGTGCTTCAAGGTTTGAGTAAGAAACCAAAAAAATACCTTGCTAACCAGAGTAGCAAGAGCTAAGAGGTTAAGAGCTGCCAATTTGAAGAGCCTCCAACTGAAGTTGTAACAAATATATCATAGGTGTAAGTGTACAGGAACTTAATGCACGGTTACTTAACAATACCAGAATTTCGGTGGGTCCAGATATAGCTTGTCATCCAGTTAACAATATTACAAAATCTTGGAAGAAGTTTAGGAAGAAACCAGAAACTATTATAGAATTCTATGTACTTTTGTTTGGATTTATATTAACCTACTTTAGAGACTTAGAGGTGCTACCTTTGAAACATCTCCAATAATCTGTTGGGTACAAGAGCCTTAAGAGAGTTATGTAGCGGAACGTGTTTCATCAAGCGTAAGTGTATGCTAGCTTGATCTATACCACAATCCAAAACATACAGCTTTCATGCAAAACAAGCTAATGCTACATGAAATTATCATCAAAGGATAATTAACTGAACTGAATTATCATCAGTTGGAAGACCATTATCATGCTTTGCTTTAGCCCTTGTAAATGTGTGCAAACAGCTGTCCTTCAAACTGTGCTAAAATTTGCTGCCTATCAAAAGGAACAAGATAATTCTGAACTTCCTTCAAATGGAAGAAACCTTGTAAGCATTAGCCTCATCAATGTCAATGATGACATCAGTAGTATAAAATAGCAGAAACCTAAGTGCTCTACTACCACCTGGAAGAGGTGGCATTAATCACTTGATGATGAAATATAGTCACGATAATTTAAAGGAGAAAGCTTTTTTTTTTTTTTTTTTGCGAAACCCAATCAAAGTAAAATCAATTTCATGTACTTAATGTTGTTAGGACATCCAAGATAATGTATTAAAAAGTGAATGGTAAAACACTTGGAAAGAAGGTTAAAAAAGTATATTCAATGAAAACTAGGCTTCTGTTTTTTACATGAAAAGTTTTTGAAAAGTTTATGTTACATAAGGTCACAAAACGTTTCATACTCTGAACTGAAATTGAGTACTTTTAGTCTCTTCAAGCTCTTTGTGGAATCCAGCCAGTTCCTCAGTGGAGCAACCAAAGTCAGCAGTAAAGTTAGAGCTGTTGAACTGACCTCTATGAATAACAACATCTGCTAAGAACAGCATTTCTACCTGGCCACACTGACCATAATTGAATTATTTTCTGTTTGCACGCTTAGACTTTATTGGTTTATTACTTTCATAACTTTGAGAAAATTTTGCTCCATCACACAAATCCTCTAAGTCTCGACTTGGTTCTTAGTGTCAGATATATTACTAAAGGAAATCAGCACTCTGTAGACTAGATTTACATCTGCAAACCTTAAAGATCATAATCCTCAGAAAGCAGCAAATGGTGCAGTGTTAACTTTCATTGCCTTTAGCAAGTCTCTTTTAAAGGCTTGAATTAAAAGCAATACCATTTTTTTCACACCAAATTGAATTAACATGCTGCTAGTGATTGGTCACACAATATTTTCCTTCATTGACTTAGCAAAGTCGTACGACCAGTTGGGTTGTTTCAACTTTTGACAGACCATTTTTAATTGAAAGCTTTGCTGAGAGAAAATGTCTGTACACATATTAATTAGTAATAGTTATCTATGCATTACAGAACAATCCAGAAGAATAAAACAATAAGTCTTTGATAACTCTTTGATTTCTTACTGATGAAAAACAGTAAAGTAGATGGTAGAATTTCTTTTCTCCTTTTAGGAGTGTGGTATCACATTCCAAGTAAAAGAAGCACCATAATTTTTGTTCCCAAAAGCCGAATTAGCCAGCCAATTTCAACCCAGCATATAATGGTTTGCGCAAATTTAAGCTATTGTTTACTTTATCCAGATCTCAGAAATATAAGAGATATAACTTGAATGTATTTGATTTATGTTTTGATTATTAATGTTTATGTCTGTATTACGTACCTCCCACAATAAGCTCCACTACACTTGGAAGCAGTTCTGAGCTCTCGAGTTCACACCTAAATTTGGTATTGTCTCCAGGGTTGATGTTCTTGATAACCAAGGTAGCTCTTCCTTCAATTTTAACTCTTCCTTGGTAAGAAAGTGGAATATTGACATATTCTTGGACACCAGCACTGTCGTTAAACATCATTTCGACAAATTTACCATTTACCAGAACACTGTAGATAATGTGCTGAACCTTATTATGTGGATCAGTGTAGTCCCACACCAGGTTTGCATCACTACCATCGTTAAAGTAGCTTGGATTTGAAGGTTTCTGGGTAAATTTCACATCCACACCTCCTAAAATGGACAACCATTTATGTAATATTCTCAGACCTTTAGGTACATGTGTAAAGATAATATTTAGGAAGAATGGCTTATAAAGAGTTCACCATAGAGGTAAGGAGTAACAAAATATAACTGTAAATATACACTACATTGGTATTCACCTGTATCAATCAGCTTGAAATATACTCTCATTTGTTGAGAAGTAAGGTTCAATACCAGTAATGCGTAACTACTTGTGCCTTTTGAAAATCATATTTGACAAGTTCCACTTTCTTTAATTTCCGAAATGCGTCCAGTGAATTTCCAAAATTGGTGAATTTCCAAAATTTGGAAGTGGTACACTTCAAGAAATATTTTGAAGAAGAACTTGTTGAGGTGGAAAATGGAAAGTAGAAATGTCCACACATATCATATTTTAAACCATCGAACAAGGGATTTATCATTAAACTCATTCCATTTTTCTTTTCTTTTCGTTTCTAGTTTTTAAAAAGTTGTATGGTCTTATTTGAGCATCCTACCCATCATGTAAGATGTGCATAAAAGAGAAAACATTAGGAAAGGAACCATTTAAGTGTTCTTTGTAACCTTAAAAAAATTCTTATGGGCTTTACAGTTCACTGCTGAAAAATTCATGCCTATTGGAAAAAGAAATCAAAGATCACGTTCATCACATCTGACCGTATTCCTGCCCTGTTCTACAGAGTATAATCAAGGCATATTTAGTATGTTCCATTGCCCTAACAAAGGTAAAATAACATAATAGTGAATAAAAATTAACAAATGTTTGCCGAGGGTAAAGTGAATATCATTCATTAATCTTTCCTTCACCTTCAGCAAATAATTGTTTAAGTACAATTGCTCAAGTGCTTTTGCATTCTGTTATAGATTCTGCAAATAAAGAAAGCATTGCACATATTTTTGTTACAATTCTGTTGATTACCTGTATCAAGATGAGCAAGCAGTTTTGGTATAACAGGTTTTTTTATTTGAATCAGCAAAAACTTCATCCCTTTGTTTTGAAGTGTACTGCTAATCTTTTTGGCATCTTTCGTGCTCTTTGCAATTTAATTTTCCTCTATCGCATTTATCACTTCCCCGCAAACATTTGAAAAATGCAAGGCAGCTATTTTCAAATTTAGCGCTCTTGCTATAATCACCCTGAACAGGGTGATTAAAGTGAGATATGGTACAACCCTTCATCAATCAGAGCATGCCCATCTCTATAATCATCTGAACAATTATACTAATATGGTATTTAATTGTTGAAGTCATCACATAACACAAGTTAAAACGACAACAACAGTACAAACAACAATGCAATGATCAGTCATGTCATGTGTGCGTGATTTTCTGGAAACCTCAGCTCATTAAGCTGGCATAAGAAATCAACCACAATTTTCTATTGTCTATAACCCTGCATGGTCATAGAAAGGATGTCAACAATGTTCAAACTGTTTTGCAATTACTCAGCTGCTCATCCTTTGGCTTTGAATATCTTTGACCTCATTTTTATGATCGATAAGGTTTTATAATATATAGACTTAGGCAAGCCTAAAAGTGGAGCTCGCATTTTTTTTCTCGCAAGTCTCTTCAACAAAACTAAAGCCCCTACTATGGATAAAGTGTGTGGTAATATTAATGGGTTCTCATTTGCAACTTCTCCATGTCCGTGTAGAGGACTGATTATAAGATGGTGCCCGTGGTACAGTTGGCCGCGCATGCTAAAAGTAGCACCTTGTACGGTCGGTCAGTCAGTGACTCTGTGAGCTCGACTATAACAATCTGAATTCTACATGTATTTCAATTGTTTCTTTCATGTACTTATGATCTTCTGGAGGACAAATGCATAGGTGACATCACCATTGACAATTTTTGCTTCTTCATTAATAAAACAAATAGATTCCATGTTGCTGCAGCTCTGCACAGTTATAAATCACAGAGGATGTCAAAATATGCTAAGAACATCAGTAACACACCCATGCAGCTGCAACTAGCTTCTAGGCATTCAGTAAGTAAAACAGCACAATAGTGAACAGTGCTGTCATTTCCCTTACTTTTTCACTCCTCTGCTACTGTTGCATCTATTTTGCTTCATTTTTATAACTGAATGCCTGGAACAAGCTGTTAGCTTTGTGCAAATTTTTTGTTCTTACCATATTCTGACATCACATGTGATCTATTATTGAACAGATGCAGAGCAACATGGAATCTATTTTTTAAATAATCCATGGAAAACTATGGTGAATTTCTTTAAGTGCTTTTGTGTAAATTGATTGCCAAGCTCACTGGTGGTTAGCCACCAGCTATTCTCCCCGGCTAGAAACATCACACAACAACAAAATGGCTTCCCACTTTGCTGTGGCAGACTAAGAGAAAATAATTTCAATAAACAAAGCAGCTTTCACGAAAAATAACAAATGGAGTCCCAAAAATGTTTACTGGTAAATATGGTTGGGAAATTTAAGGAAATATAGATGGTTCATATTTAATGAGTGCATGTGATTTATATTCACAAGATGTGAAGAATAAAACAATGAGCATAAAAGAACAGGCAAGATTTTGTCAATAAAAATCGTACATGCAAACTTTAAGTAATGTAAGGAATCGCGGATTGTGCGTGTTTTATATGCAGAAAATGGAGCAACATTTACATTACTACTGGGAACAAAGCAAGGACAAAAACAAGGAATAAATTAGATGATTGAAAAGCGTTTGTTAATACCATGGGTCAATTATGACACCAATTTGAAACATAAACTTTTTCCCATTCACATAAGCACAAATGAAATGGCAAAGGGGGACCATAATGCTTTCTTGTCAGAGCCAGAATCTAGAAATGTGAGTCTTTTGAACCATTTTGGAGGAGATTCTACTTTAGTTCCTCAGATTGTGAATGTCAGGAATTGATAAAGCAAAGATTTTGACAAAGATTGTGATCAGTTTACATGAGGTGAAATCATATTGATTTTTACAAATTTTCATAAAATCCAGCTTTCTCCAACATTATCTTCATAAATTAATTTAACTTGTTTACACCAACAGCTGACTTCTTGTTTTTAACCCTTAAGTCGTGATTCTACAGTTGCATGCAACCAGTAAAGATTGCTGACATTCACTTTTATTCACTTTGGCAAAACCCACACCACAAACACAAAGAACCCATACCACTGTTTTCACTGGTCAAAAATTTCATCTATGACTTGTGATTGGTCAGATGTTCATTTCTCATTCGTGAGAAAAACCATCTGACCTATCAGAATTTGTGCAGTCTATTACAAATCAATTTTTTTTCAAATTTAGCTTAGGGAAAATCTCAGGACATATGTTATAAGCCCACATGTAGACATGTACACTACATTTCAAAAACTTTGGTCCTGGAATACCTTTTTCTAAATATGTAACAAAAATAAGTAGCCCACGACTATTGCTATGGGATACCACAAACATATGAGCATAAAGCTAACTACTGGTCAAGTGAGTAGAAAAATCATACATGTTGGTAATTGCACAAATAATGCTCAACTATCCATCCAAGTGCATTATGTAGTTTCTTTACATGATTGCTGCCTGGAGAAAAAATCACATTCAACTTAGCTAGCAGCAATTATCCCTGCTGAGGTAATTCTTTGAACCAATAAAGAGTGGAAAAATTGTTAATATCTCTTCCCAGTGATGAGTGATGGATGGCAAGGAAGAGAGTTTAGGTTCAGATGGCAACTCTTTCCTGGGTTTGCATGGCCATCATGTTTGTAATGGAGAGCCACCTGACAAAGCAGGAACTTTCCTCGTGGTTTGAAGACGACTCACACTGATCAAGAAAATAGTGCACTTCTCAGTTTCAGAGTTGATGTCAAATTCTGATCGTATGGTACTGTTACACTTGAACATTAAATCCTTTGCTCTGATTTCTATCGCATCATAGTTATTCGGACTTCATTTATTACATGATTGAAATCCCTCCATCATATCTTAAATTTGAAATACAAAAACTTTTGAAGCCACCTTGGAGTTCGGAAATCATTTTGACGAACATCACGTTCAGAAATAAAGGGTCGGCGTTTTCGGTTTCCTAAGCTTAAACTGGCATATGATAAAAAACACTGTAAAATACTATGTACGGCAGAATAAATTTCACAGTTACCTGACCCGTGAAACTTTACCAGCAGAAGAAAGAGTAAGGAAATTTCATAGTCACGGAAAGACACCATCTTATTAGACCTTCAGTTCGCTGATGCTTTAATGAGGAAGGTTGTGCCTAAATCTTACGGAAGTAAGAGAAGGCCCCTCTTCGTTTTGAGACTGGGACCGAGTGTCACGATCACCCTCGTGAAATTGTAAAAAAGCATTATATAACATCGTCCTAAACCAGATGAGCCCACGACATATCAGCGGCATCTTGTATGAGTATCCGCAGGTTACAACGTGACTTCCGCTTATTCTTGTTAAAGCGTATTTTACAGTGTACTCATGGAATAGGAAGTGCGTTTGAGCCAGTTTCTGGCAGATTTAAACAGAAAAGCGGTCTTTCGTTGGAGTGTAATGACATTTTGATCGATGGCGCTGTTAACGAAATGTTTGGCTGGTTCGTAAGTTGTCGACCTAGTTTCGGTCGATCTGATTAATTGACAACACCCCTAAGGCAATACATATCATCGTCCCAAACCAGATGAGCCCATGACACGTCAGCGGAATCGTAACGAGAGTCTTCTATTTTTCTGCTCGTTTCCGGCGAATCAAGAGACCGTGACCTGTGTGACTGACGATAAAGCGTCGTATTCTTCAATATTTTATTGCGAAAGTATTCTTCCCATAACTTGTACAAACTAATTTCTGTCTAGATCACATATTTAAGAAAAAATCTAGCCTGTTATAAAGGCGTTAAAAGGAGGATCGACACTTAAATATGACCGGCCCAATAGTTTCGGTCGATGTTATCCTCTGACCTCGCTATCATCGACCAAAAGCAGATTCAGGTCAAAGATCATTTGCATAACTTTGCACTGTAAAATCTTT